AATGGCATGGATGGCTGCTGGTCCCATGACAAATGATGGGATGAGGGCAATGGCATGGATGGCTGCTGATCCCATGACAAATGATGGGATGGGGGCAATGGCATGGATGGCTGCTGATCCCATGACAAATGATGGGATGAGGGCAATGGCATGGATGGCTGCTGATCCCAAGGCAGGGGATGGGATGGGATGGGATGGGATGGGATGGGATGGGATGGGATGGGATGGGATGGGATGGGATGGAAGCAGTGGGAGGGATGGCTGCTGGTCCCAAGGCAGGGGATGGGATGGGATGGAGGCAATGGCATGGATGGCTGCTGGTCCCATGGCAGGGGATGGGATGGAGGCAATGGTATGGATGGCTGCTGGTCCCAAGGCAGGGCAGGGGATGGGATGGAGGCAGTGGGATGGATGGCTGCTGGTCCCATGACAAATGATGGGATGGGATGGAGGCAATGGCATGGATGGCTGCTGGTCCCATGACAAATGATGGGATGGAGGCAGTGGGATGGATGGCTGCTGGTCCCATGGCAGGGGATGGGATGGATGTGATGGCCACTAGTCCCATGAGCATTCTTCCCCTGGATACATAGATCCAGACACAAGCTACTTTTCCCCATGGGATTCCCATCTGCTACTGGAGAGAGATAATGGCTGCAGTCCCCATGATTTTTTTTAATATTGATTCCCTTGGTCCCTTCTTTCAGGGAAATGCCCTTGTCCTTAATAAAGCAGGGAGAGAGTGCTCCTCTGGATGGGCACATGGCTGCATGGCTGCCTCATCCTCTCCCCACCACCATTAGGAGCTCTGGTTGATATGGGCCTGGCTGAGACAATGCGAACTTTAACAGCTTATGGAGTAATTAAGCAAAGCCTCTCAATACAGCATCACTAATTAGATGAATCCTCCCTAAATTACCAGTAGTTCATGGCACTCTGTAAAATCCTCGTGTAATAGCCTTAGAAAACAATGACACTCAGCTGGCACTTGGCCCCATAGCTCGATGGCAATTGCAAAGCACTTTGGATGTTCATGAGCCTTTAAAAAAAAAAAAAAAAGAAACCTAAAAACCTAAAATGTACATTTCCCCCAATGACTCTGCTCTGGGGTGTATTAAAAGCAGCACCTTGACTCAGCCTGCCACATAAACATCCTGCTGCCCCTGGACAGCCCGATGCTGTCTTCCTCCCAGGATGAGGAGCTGAATAAGAAGTGACAATCACAGCTCCTGCCCGCAGGAAAACAGGAAGCGCCAGAGCTGTACAACCACTCCAAACATTGTCCTACCTGCTCCACTCCTTGGGTGCAATGGGAACTTGCTTTCCCTTCCTTTCCACATTGCATAACTATTTCTGGTCCAGTGCTGCTCAGTCCCAGGATGCTGCTGTGTGGGGCCTTTGGCTTCTCCCTGCCTGCCCAAAGCCAGCCTGGTGCTCCCTGTGCAATGCCCCAGGACAAATGCCCACCTTCCAAATCCACTGCTAACAGTGACAGCGCTGAATGCAAGCACTGGAGGAGATGGAGATGGACTCAGGGTGCTGGGCAGATTGGCTCACCCACATCTGGCAGGAGCTAGAGTGAAAAAAATCCCAAACCCCACCAGAAAGCAGCAGAGTTGGCCAAATTTGGAAATGACCATAAGACTGAAGGAGGTGATCCTTACACATGGGCTCCAGCTCATGCACTGAAATGCTAAACCTCGTCCTTGAGAGTAAGATAGCCCTGTGTGTGCCCCACCCTCAAAGCAAGCTGGGCAGCCAAGGTTCTCCACAGGCACAGAGAGGAGCTCCGGGAACCCAGAGATACAATGGAAAAGAGGCCACTTGCAGAAACCCCAGTTTATTCACAAATACCCACTGCCACCCTTGACTTTTTGGGATGATTTCAAGGAATCCTTGTCCACTCAGTGCAATGCATCCCCAGCCAGCAGCCTGGCAGCCCTGCTCTCAGGGCCATCCTTCCCAAAGACCAGAGACTTTCCACATTACATGATGCTCTGGGAGCTGGGAACTTCACTCTTTCTCCGACTGCTCCCACATTTCTGCTGAGAGACTGGCCCGAATTTGCTTGCAAAACACAGATGTCATAAGCAAGTTTCCAAACAAGAAGAAGGATAAGAAGGTTTCCTCTCCACTCTTGCTCTTCCTTTCCTCACAGCGTAAAAACATCCCTTGCCAAGCGAGGCAGGCCATCACTTTGCAAAGTTCACATTCCCACAAGGCAGGCATGAGGAGGAACAAGGGGGGGAACCCTCACATCAGTGCCCACGGGTCATGGTCACACAAAACAATACTTTGCAAAATTTGGAAGTGGGAGGAATGTGGGAAGGCTGGAGAGGAGGATGTTTATTAACCTATATCTCCGAAGGGTGTGCGTCCTGTGAGGAGAAAAAGGGAGCCCAAGGCAATGTTGTTCAAGATACTGGTGGGAAAAAATCTGGAAATCCTTATTCAAGCAATCCTACTGCTGGTGTAAAGAAAAAGAAAATGGCTTTTTCTCACATTCATGGCAGTGAGGGTTTTCCTAAATTACGGGAAGCTTCGTATGAGTTCCCTAACTAATTCCCTTGTGCAATTGCATTAAATAGTAGGATGTGAATGCATTTCCACACCTGACTCAGCCTCTGTGCCCAAAAATGCTGCTGGCTCCCTACAAGCATATAGCAGGAAGCCTTTCAGCTCAAGAACTGCAGTCTGAGCCTTGCTGCCTGTTGCTAAGTGGTGAATGGAAAGCACACAGGGGAAGCCCAGCAGTGGGGGAAGCTCAGCAGTGAGTTTCAGCAAGTGTCTACAGACACTTGAGAAAACTTTTCAGCACAAAAAAAAAAAAAAAAAAAAATTAAAAGAAATCTCACGGGTCAAGAAAAAAAAAATTAAAAAATTAAAAATCACAATTTAAATGGCAGATACAAGTTAGAGAAAGGGGAGATGAAACCCTGATGTAACTTGGGAAGTTCAAGTTACAATGCAAAGCAAAGGGGGTTTTCCACTATTTCTTTCTGCCTCCCAGACAGAGAACGTCTCTTTGCTTTCACTTTATGACTGTAAAAGAAATCAGCTGCATTTCTCCCTACCCTTTGCAGCTGCTCGCTGGGGCTGTGGTTGGGGCAGTCCCTGCCGAAATGTATAATCAAATTACGGCCATTCACACCCACCCCGAACATCCCCAGCTCTGGCTGTAGGGGATTCTCCCAGATTTAGCTGCAGGGACACCTGCAGCAGGCTCTGGCCACAAGAGCTGGAGGAAACATCTCCTCCTCGCTGCAGAAAGGCATTAAAAGGCACAAATGTGGCCGGGGCAGCTGCGAGGTTGATCCGCGAAGCCGCAGCGGGGACGGGCGGGCAGGGCAGGACAGGGCTTAATCGGACACAGAGCACCCTCTGCTGGGAAAGCCTCGGAGGAGAGCAAATCCTCCCGTGGCACAGCCCTGAAGAGCTGCTGGCAGGAGGGTTTCCATCCCACAGGGTGGCTCCTGGACGAAAGGAGGGAGCAGCGCGTCTCGCTGCCGGCGTGGGAGCCCACCCCCTTGTTTTGCATCATGGGGCCTCTGCACTGCCCGCTGTAAACAGCAAAAGGACTCAAACAGTTCAGCACTTCCAGCCTGTGGCTCATCATGGACCTGCCTCATGACGCTGGCTGTGCCCTGTCACCTCCCCTGCCACAGCTGCTAGCTTAAAAGAGCCCCAGCAGCACCGAGGCAGGAGCCGTGGCCCAGCAGTCGCTTGCTCAGTCCCAATCCCAGTCCCGGCTGTTCCCCACAGCCCCGTTACCCAGTAGTGCCTCCCTCCCTTGGTGCCAAAAGCAGCGAGAATTGGGAGTGTCAGGGGACCAGGGACATCTTTGCACAGCGTGGGGATGCAGGGCCTGTTCCTCAGCACTGCCACGTGGCATGGCACAGACTCTGAATAACAAGGCAGATTCTGCCTCAAAATCTTCCACGCTGTGAACGCAGGCAGGCGGCACCTGCTGTGCCTCAGGCCATTTCCCTGCGCCGAGCCGCTGCCCAAACAGTACTTTAACCCAGCTCCGGCTGGGTGTGTTTAAATAAACATACGAGGTTCCCCGACACCCTTCCCTCGTGTCCCGAGCTGCTCACAGCGCTCGGCGCCCAGCACACCCCAGAAATGCGCTTCCTTCCCCGCCTCGGCCTCTCGGCCGCGCTGGCCATCGCCGCCTTCCTCGGCTGGAGGCTGCTGCTCCGGAGCCCGGCCCGCAGGCAGGGAGGTAAGGCCTGGCCAGCCGGGCTCTGCCTTTCTGTGCCCTGGCGCTTCTTCCAGAGGGTCCCGGTTGGCAAACGCCTACAGGACAGAAAACACCCTTGGCGTGGCGTTTGAGGTTCCCTCCTTGCTGTGGCGCCCTGCAGCATTATGTTCTTAGTGGGGTCATTGATTTCAGGTGTGGTGGGGAAACAGGTGTCAGGCTGCCTGGGGGGAGCTCCCAGAACTTTTGTTATGGAAACTTTCATTGTTTTGTTGTGAAATGCTGCTGGGAGGGCAGGAGGGAGTAGGGGCGTTGGTGATTATTGCATTTCTTGCCTTAAAAATGCATCCTTGCCATCCATTTCCCATCATTCCAGGGCAAAGCCATCACTTGATTTTGCAGACACTGTCATTCTGGGGCTGGGTGAGTCAAAGAGCAGCTCGGGATAGCTTCAGGCGTCAGTATGTTCCTGATGTCCTGTGCCTAATTCTAACTGTGCTTCTCTGCTTTTACCTGTACAAGAGCCTCCTCAAATATTTAACTTTCCAAGGACCCAGAACAAACCATTGAACTGTCCCCCAGGGCTGCCAGATGCCTGCACTCAGCAGATGAGGCAGATGTGCTGCTGCTGCTAAAGAAAATAAACTAACAAGGCAGGCATTAATCTTCCACGATCAAACCCATTCTGGCCTTTTCACATCAAAAACAAGACAACAAAAAAGCAAAGCTGAAATCTGAGGAATTTAATGCACTCTCTTAGAGTCCTTGTATTTGCTTTTGCCTTTTATATTTGCTTTGTTGTCATGTCACTTCTCTTTGCTTTTTGCCTTTTATTTGCTTTTGCCTTTTTATCTACAAGAGAAAAAAATTACATATGGGAGTGATGCAAGAAATGATGTCATTTGGGTCCCTAAATCACCCCAAGCCATTCAGAACAATCTCTTACTCACATATTCTTGGTCGCTGATCTTAACCTATTAACAGATGCAAAAGGGTTTCCAGGACATCACGTGTTTGTAGCTACAAACCAATTTACTACTGCCTGGTCTCTCAAAATAGTTTTGACTCTTTGGTAAACTCAGCTCTGTGACGTTCAGCTGCAAGCAAGGAGTTAAAAGCAAAAATTATGATTTAGTGGAGAACTGGGCCTGCAGAACAAATCTGTGGTTTAGAGCCATCCTCAGGCATGGTGATTTGGGGAAAGGGGAGTCTGGGTGTCCATAATCTCACATGCTCATGGGGACACAAACCCATTTCCCAGCAAAGCCAAGCTCTTTGCCAGACAGGGCTGGTCTCCCCTTTGCTACCCATTTCATCCACGCTGAATCCTTTCCACACTGGAATAACTGGAGAAGAGCCTTGCAGCAGCACTCTGTGCTCAGGGTCTCACTCAGGGCACCGTGTTCTTTCCTCACCCCCATCTCCAAATGCTGTTTCCCAGGTGACCTGACCCCCAAGGCAGAGGAGGGCTTCACTTTGACACTGGACAGCTTCCTTCACGTCCAGCAGCTCAGGAAGAGGAGGCTGAGAGCTTTCTGCAGCCGAGCAGGCAAAGTCACCGCGCTGCCGAGCAGCCGGGATGAGAGAGCCTCCCTGCTCCCGAGCCTGAGGGTGAACACCAGGCTGGACCTCCTGTACTGCCACGTGCCATCAGCAGGGGTGGAGGAATGGCACCAGCTTTTGGAGAAGCTGAAGGAGGAAAATGTGACGCTGCCAGTGCTGCTCCCCTACCGCCGGCTGCAGGCTAAGGAGACGCGGCTGAGCGAGTTCAACCAGACGGAGAGAAAGGCCATGCTGGGCTCCTACACCAAAGTGCTCTTTGTCAGGGACCCTTTCCACAGGCTCATTGCCACCTTCCTTCAAGGCATGGGCATCAACCCATCCTTCAGCAGCTTTGTCCAGGAGGTCCTAGACAGCACAAAGGTACACGAAGCTTGGAAACCGCTGGTGAGCCTGTGCCAGCCCTGCCTCGTGCAGTACGACTACGTGGTGATGTTTGGCTTCCTCAGGCAGGAGCTGGGCCACCTGCTGCACCGGGCTGGGCTGCCTGCAGGCAGCCTCCTCCCCGAGCTCACCGACAGCCAGGTGCAGTGGACCTACAGGTGGCTGTCAGAGCAGATGTTCAGCGAGCTGTCTGCCCAACAGAAGCAGCAGCTGTCTCATTTCTACCGCTGGGACCTCGCTGCTTTCCCATTTTCCAGCAGTTTCCTGGCAGACCATCCCAGCACTGCAGAGACCTGGCAGAAATAGCCTGCATGGAGGGAGGAACTGCTTCAGGGAGCATTAAACCAAAAGCAGGTACTTCAAGATACTGACAGGCCTTTGCTTCACAGCTGCTTGCAGTGAGTTTTTCCATGTCACAGTCCAAAAGACTCAGTCAGAGAGCTGAGACACAGCAGTGTCAGGGCCAGGGGATCAACGTGATTGAATCATGTTTAAATGCAACAAGAGAAGGCACTAGGAAAACCTGTGGCACTGGACTTGGAAAACAGCATGAACTGAACTGTGATGAGATAAACCCAGGAGTTTGGGGTAGGGTGGGTTGGACCTGCTGCAGACCACTATAGCATCACACACACTGTGCCTGCGCTGATATTTCCTTTTCTGGGCTCCAGGAGGCTTGGCAATGGCTTCTTCCTGACAAATCTTCCCACTCAGATACAAGAAGTGCTCCCATAGGAGCATGTCACCTGGAGGCTGAGATGTGACACAGGGTGGCACACCCTGCTGGGGATCCACTGGCAATGTTCCCAATCTTTTCATGCTCAGGGAAGGTCAAGCCCAGCCCATCATTTGGTCGGTTCTGTTCTGTGTGAACTGTTCCTGTTTTACAGCCTCATCTCCTCTGTGTGTGGGCTCAAGTGGGCCTTGGGACCCAGTGCTTGCTCCATTCACAGGTTTTGAGTTTGGCTCCCCTCCTTCCAGGGCTGACTCCAATGGACCAAGTCCAGCATTCAGCTTGGTGCACTAGCCCCGAGACGAGAAGTATCAGTGTGGACCAGGTACACAGCACCAGACAGACTGCCTCCCACCTTGTGTCAGCAGCTGCTGCTGGGCCCTGTGAAGGTGGCTAGAAGCATCAGAATGCATCACTGTGCTGCAGTGGAAAACAGGATGTGGCTACTACAGGCTGCTGGCAGAGAAGCACAAGGACTGACTCTGCTTTCTTTTAGACACGGTGCCAGCATGGCCAGACAGAGGCCCAGTCTCTGCAGCTGGCTCTCAGCTCCATCCAGCTGGGCAGCCCAGAGCAAGGACCTGCCCTCTCCCTGCTTTGGTCACCGAGCTGATCTGACTCACAGGCCCTAGGAAAGCTCCATCTTTGTCAAGCAAACACCAAGGATGAGCTGTCTAGATTTCGAATCCTACCAGACTCTAACCATAGCATATTCTTTTCCAGAGTATTTAGCAGCTTTATTTTGCCACGTTGTGACATTCACAGAGAATTCCACGTACATTCATGGTACCGTTTTGACAGTGCTCATTAAAGAATGTTAGTGAAAACTGTTGATTAGAACTGACCTAAAACAATTACCAGAATCTTGGCCTCCCTCTCACAGAAGGCCATGCAATTAATAGCATTAAAACATCAGATCAGCTGGGCTCCTTTCACACTCCCACACACCCTCCAGCTGCAGTAATTACTATTTAAGCACTGTTATTGTGCGCAGTACTTTACAGTCTAGCAAGATGGCATAGTTCCTCTTCTGAGACAGACTTCTGGAGGAAGAAAAGCTGCAAATTTCCAATTATATGCCATTAAATTAGAGTCTTGCATCCATGCTTTATTTCACTGGAAAGTACTACCAAAGGAACATTTTTCTCTTCATGAGTAGCTTTCCCTCCAGTGACAGTGAGCTGAGACCCCACACAGTGAGGTGTAGAGTGAGGAGATGGGACACAGCACCTGGCAGGGGACAGGGGTGTGCACTCAGGGCAGGAGAGCTGCTCCCCACAGCTTTGTAGTGCAGAGCACACTCAGGTCAGGGATCTTCTTTTCCTGCCAGCCCTCCCCAGTGGGTCCCAGTCCTTTCCTAAGGTGGCAGGCACTTAGTTCCATGAAAAGAATGTATGAAATTTTCAGACATTGAGAGGTGACATGAAAACCTCAGCTTCATGTTCCTTAGAGTCCCACAGCACAGGCAGGTAGCACAATGATCTTTCTGTAAATTCCTGTTAAGCTCCAAGCTTCCCTTTTCCCTACACCCTCACAATCAGTTGCTGTCATTACTTTGCAGCACTGATTTTATACCATTGCCGTCCCCAGGTGTTTGATTTAATTCCCATTCAATTCCAGTGCACCCCAAAAGGCAAGTGTTTCCTCTCTCCATCAGCTGGGGGAGGGTATCAGGAGGGCCAGGGCTGCTGCCTGGCCAAGAGTGGCTCACTGATGCTGCAGCAAAACTGGCTGCACAGGTCTGCCCTGAAGAGCCTGCTCTGACCACTGCATGTACACAGAACCTGCCAAATGCACTTCCAATAAACTCACAAAGCAAATAGCAAACAGACACTTGACACATCTAATTTAAAAACGTTTCACCTGACTCTGTCAGACACTCACAAACCCATCCTGAAATGATGAAAACTCCAAAAGCAGGGAGATAAAGATCACTTATTCATCCTGCTAGTGACATCCCAGCATCTCCCAGGACCATCACAAACAGCAGGCCTGTTGTGAACACTGGCAGCTTTCCCCTGGGATGGCACTGGGAGCTCCTTGATATCCCACTCTGCCTGTGTGTCTCCATGCTCTGCTTTAACACACAACACCTTTGTATTTCTTCTCATCCTGGTCTGAAGGAGCATGTCCAGCACTCCCACAGGGTGGAATTCAGAGAAACAGCTGATACCAATCTACATTACAGACTTAGTATTTTGCATCCCTCCCTAGACACCCAAGAATGTGGACACACAGGCTCCAACAGTTGTTCTCACACATGAATTATCACATTTTCTTCCCTAAGAGGTTTTTTATATATTACCAGCTTTCAGGAGAAAACAAAAACGTGTTCTTGCCCAGTACCTCCAAGCTTAAGAAACATCAATAATCATATTTCAATTAATAAAACAATTACATAGCAAGCGCAACAGGCACAAAATACTTCCTGCAACTCATATGTACAAACTCCCTTTTTCTAGACTGTAGATCCATAATATTTCAAGTTGAGAAATAAATATACACCTTTCCAAGCAATATACCCTGGAGTGCTTAAAAAATTATTTCACACTGAGCATACATTGTCCAGTCCTAAGATGAAGGCCAATTTTAAGAAGTTTGTATGTGAGCAGAATTTTATATAAGGAGTTACATCCTCTTGCACCATGCTTTTTTGATGGCCCTGGGAGTGCAAAAAGAGAAAAAGGACATTTTTCATAAAGCAGTAGGCCAGAAAAACAGATAGAAGTTTGCAAATCATAAGCAGGCACAGTATGTGGCTGACACCATCTAGAGATAACATGGTGCTCCAGTGTTGAGTCTGACAGTGACAAAACCTATCAAGGAGGGATGCCCAGCACTTAATCCAACATGAAAAATATATTCAATCCAGATGACCCAGGTCACCACACAGCCAGCACAGTTTTCAGACAAGCACTCCCTATAGCAAAATGTATCCATTCTCTTAGATTCAGCAAAACTAAAAATCTCCTGAAAAGAAGGCAAGGCCATGACAGCAAGGGATTTACCCTATAGGGCAGCCAGAGGCAGCTCATCACCAGCTGTGCCCAACCTCCTCGTGCCCCTTGCTTAGGCTGGTGTAAATTACCTTGGGAACATCGATGAGCAAGCTCCTCTGTTACTCCAAGGTCTCTGATGTCCTTTCCTATTTGAAGGATGGGGAGAGAAGTGGAGGTGTGAGATGGGAAAAATCTGTGTCAAACAAAGGAGCATCTTGCTGGAAGTACTCTTGGTGTATTTAGTTTTTATCTTTAATCAGAGAAGACAAGGTAGCATTTGAACTAAAATCTCATTAAAGCCCAGGTGCAGTCATTGAACAAGCAACAGTCATTGAACTTGGGATAAATCAGTTGTTGGTCACATTCTAGCCTTTTCCTCTGAAACACTTTTGTTACACAGGTAAGACCATCTTCATTAGCCAACACCAAAAGTCCTGCTCATCTTCCTCTAGGGTATAGCTGGCTTTGTGGGCAGAGGGAACACAGCAGGGTACAGCCCTCAACACCTTTTAACACCTTCCCCCATCTCAGCTAGAGGATTATGTCTGGGATCAACACATTTCAGTCTTTCTTGGCATAGCAGCACAAGGTGATACATCTTTTCCCCATAGCAGGAAAAAAAAGAAACAACTGCTCTGCTATTTCACATTAGCTGGTAACAAGTATCCTTGCAGCAATTTTATATGAAATCTCTAAGATTTTTCAATTACACCTGGATAACATCACTTTGAACTTAGTCTTCATTTGAATTTACATCACAGCTATAATCTGGCAGCAATTTCCTCTCATAGAGAAAATAATGATTGGACAATTAAATGTGAAAGCTCCATGAATCAGTGGGTGAGCCACATGAACACAGGTTGGTTTTTCTTCTCCATTATAGTCCTACTGCCTTGTGGTTCCTCTGATGTAAGCTCAGTTTCAGCAGAGTTTGCTCCTCAAGCGTTCCTCCTACACACGCACACACCATGGCTTAAAGGTCCCTGGCTCAGCAGAAGGGCACTACAAAGAGAAAAAAAATCTGAATTAGCAACAAATCAGGGTCCTGTCCAGCGTTCAACATGTCCCACACATTACAGGTGGGGACTTTGTGAAGATAGGAGCTGCTACCCCAGTTTTTCCAAACACAGAGATGTCACTCTCATGGCACTTCTGTTAGGGGCCTGATAGTTGAGCCCTGTGACAACACCATGACAGAACAGCCCAAGAGGAACCAGCGACAGCTCCTGCACTCCTTCAGAGCAAGACCACAGCTCTAAGGAGACTCCTGTGGCCATAACATTCAGAAGAAGGGAGTATTTGAAGAAACACTTTTCTCCCCCTCCTTTGCTCAGGGATACCTCTAAATCCCACTGTGGCCCTCACCATATGAGATGATTCTGTGAGAGATGATGGTCAGGAGCATCAGGACAAGCAGCCAGTGGTCCACACACAACACTTGGGGAATGAAATGGACTGAACTTCAGGGATACTGTACAGCCTTTCCTGCAGTGGGAGCCCTAGCAGTGCTGGCCTGGGGATCTGGATCTCAGCTGATGGCATGGCAAATTAAGGATAACACCCATGAAACAAAACTCATCTGCTGGAGCAGGGACACAGCCTCCCCATGCTGTCCTAACCCCAGCCCTGGGTCCCTGTGACTTGCAGGCACACTGCCAGGGAGCAGACTGGAGAGCAGGGCTGTTACCATTTTGGTGAAGATGTCCACACAGGCATTGCGGATCCTCTCTGGGGTGGCAGGGCTGTCCAGCCTGAATGACTCTGTCAGGCCAGAGTCCTTCCTTGCTGAGTAGATGGCATCTTTAATGGCATAAAACACTGAGGCAGACAGGAACAGGGGTGGCTCTCCCACAGCCTAGACAGAGCACAAGCAAGAGTGAGCCTTTGCCTTCCAGACGGGAACCTCAGTCTACCAGATGTGCTCAGTGAGGAACATGATGCTAAAACAGCCTCCAGTGTGCCAGGGGTGATCAGTGAGGAAAGACTGGGCTAAATCAACCCTCAGTCCATTTAAAGAAGAAACAGGAAGAAAACACAAGCTTAATCACACAGCAAAGCCATTTCAGTTCTGTCTAATGGACAATCAGGACAGCAATGTGCAGGTTACTTCAGTCCTTCCTAACTAGAAAGGATAGTACACACATTTCTGATAAGAAACAGAAAAACATCCTGACCTCAGAGTAACCACAGCATGATGAGATGAACTGTTTAGACACACAGGATCATGACTTTATCCCACAGTGTTATGGGGCAGTAACAGGCCCACAGACCTCACAGGCATACCTTGGATGAGTAAACTGCCTTGCTGTTGGGGCAGTCACGGAGAAGGGACACATTGAATTCTGTTGGGATGTCTCCAAATGCTGGGATTTTGTACATGCCAGGCCCTCGAGTGTACAAGTTCCCTTCAGGAGAGTAACGCAGCTCCTCCATGGTGAAGAGCCCAATTCCCTGGACAAAGGCTCCTTCTATCTACAAACACACCCAAACAAGGTTACAGGCTCTGTTGTTGTTGTTCTTCCCTGCACAAGGACAAACAGTGATGACATCCACCAGGGTTTTCAACCCTTCCCTCCTGACTCAGATCCCGCTTTTTATCTCTAAACCCTTGTCCCTTCTGCTGGGTACAATCTTTGCACAATTCCTGTGTTCCCACATAAATGTGGCTGCATTTCCCTGGCAGGTGAAGCAATTTACAAATACACGCAAACAGATTTTCTGTAAACACAGGACAGGAATTTTCTGATGAAGCAACAGAAAAAAAAATTAAATCAATGATAAAATATTGATTTCTTCCCAGGCAGGTGAACATTGAATGAGTTGAACTTGCTGATATATCAAAGCACAAGTAGACTAAAAGGACTGAGGATGAAACATCTAAAGACAAACTATTTTATGCTTTCTATTTCAGTATAAATGCTTTCCTAAGTGCTGTGTATTATCAGGTCAGCAGCACAGACACCTGCAAAACCACTCCCATATCCATTTAAGTACTAAAAAACTTTGCATATTTTTTCTACTGTAAATTTTAGGAGAAAAAATATTACAAGAAGAGGATGTGCTTGAACAACACTGCACAAAGCAGCTCTGCTCTCTGTGCCCACTCAGGTATCTGACAGCCAGAGCAGTCACAAGCATTCACTGACCCATCTCTGTGTACTTGTATTCCTGCACTCATGCCACATCCTTTCTCTCCTGTGCCCCCAGATCCTTTGCAGCAATTTGTGGAAGGACACAGGAATTGAAGACCCCTTTGACAGGCTCCATTTAGCTCATCTCTCAACTCCCAAACCTGAATGACAGGCTGCAAAGACACAAAACCCCTCTCTCCCCTTGGACACTTCCAAAAAAAAACCTCTTTCAGAAAAAACGTCACTTTCAAGGAAATTTCATTTTAGCTGTAGCAGAGCTTAGCAATTCATGCTCTCCTGTCATTCCAAATCCTGCAGCAGTTTCATTTGAGTTACACCATATCAACATCTAGAGCTAGCCAGTGAGCTAAGATAGCTAGATAAGTATACATCTAACAATTCATCTCTTGGTCTGTCAAACAACCCTGGTTTCATTACCTTTATCTGCTAAGAGATAGTGTGGTTATTACTGAACAAAATTTTGAAGTAATCTTGTGCCTGCCCAAGGACTTGGCAAGATAAGTGACTGGTCCAACTTCCTATTGAGAATTCTACACAGCAGCAGCTGGAGGACAGAATCTGCCACCCTAACTCTTTAGTCAGGAGAATTTTCACTAAATTTAATATTGACAGATAGGAATATAAATACCAGGTGAGGGATTTAGCCTGAAAAAAACATCAGTGGGGTGGTAACTGAATATCCTGTAGTCTTATTATCCAAGGCAAAAATCCCCAAACCCCTAACAGAATAGTTCCCTATGTAATTCTGTGCCAAGTTTAAAAGGGTGTGTTTGCAAAGGCCCATCCTGGAGAGAGATAATAAATAGAAAAGCCTGAGAGCAGTGTGATTGCCTTAACATGATGGAAATAGCAATACTTTTCACTTACCTGTCCTATATCTATGGCTGGGTTCAGACTGGTACCAACATCCATAACAATGTCTGTGCGAATGTTCTAGAGAACAGGGATAAAGGGTGAATCAGCACAGATCTCTGGAACTGTGGTCCACCATGGTCTCATGTGAGGAAGAGTATCCAAACACTGTCCCACATAATCTTATCTCAGCTGAACTTCTCATACTGATTTTTAATCTGAGTTCACCCCAAAAGTAATTCAAAGGAACTCACTGCAGCTTTCCCCAGAGGTCCAGTGGACCCAATTAATATTATTTCCAAGATGCTGGTATCAGTGGCCTGTAGCTCAGCATAACCAATTAGGTCAGATCCTGATTTAATTTTTTTTTTATTTCTTTCTTTCCAGAAGTCTTCAGTGTTATTTTTAATGATTAACTCATTTCCAGGATGTTTCTGTACTTTTGTGTCAGCACAGTGCTGCTATCTCTTACTCAAGCAAATCCAATAACTTTTGCAATCATTCATTAAGCCCCAAATCCCCACAGGGTAGATAATTATTGTTTTATTGCACTTTACAGATGGCTGCACTGTGGAACAGAGGAGTTAAGAAACTTGCTGAAGGTCACACCAGACCAATGACAGAGCCAGGAATGGGCTGACACCCAGTATTTGTTCTGTTTCACTGCTGACCCCTCACCTTGTGGTCACCTGTCAGGCAATCTATCTCAACCTCAGAGCAGGCAACTCCATAGCTGAAGTAGGAGAATGGTTTCCCTTCATTCTTTTCAAAGTTGTAGCCAACTTCAGGAATTCTTGATACAAAGAGAAATAAAACCACATTTAATTTCATTTAAAAACCCAAATATAACTGCATTGCTACTTATCAAAATTCTTATTCAGTTTTGTTTCATTCTTTCTGTCAAGCCCATGCAGAAATTAAAAGTGTAAACAACTATAAAGAGAAATCTGCTTAATCTACTCTATATTCCAAAACCTGATTGAAACTATCAAACTGTTTTAGCCATCTTTATTTGCCCATAAATCTCAGGGTTTGTGATGACTATTATCTACCAATCCAGTGAAAAATCATTTGCTTTTAGAGTGCAGTTGAATGTTTCTTTAAGGCCATTAAACTCCAGAACATAGTTAAGCTGAAGCAGAAACTCTATTAAGCTTAGAACTGATTTTAAGCACAGTTAATGGCAAATTTGACTACTTAAACTTTATCTGAAAACTGGTTTAATAAAATGCTGGCAAGTCACTTGATTAAGAGAAAAAAAACATTTCAGGGATGCAAAAGAAACTAACACATAGTGTATTTTCGCCCTAAATAGGTTCTTCTCAACACTAGACTTATTTATTAATGTCAACCCCTCTGCCTTAAAGATGATGGATCTCTGCTTTCCTCCAGCAGTAAAGCTGACTAAGAGAAGTGCCTCATTTCAGAACTACAGGGTCCAGCAAGAGACTGAAGTGGGAGAGCACTGCTGGAAACACTGGTATCTGCTCCTGCCACAAGAAACAGGATTTTCCTCAAGGACAACCCTTGTCCCCTCTTATCCTGCATGGCAGTTCTAGTGCAAAACTAGGCCACAAGGCTGACACAGAGCAGAGCCCCAGGCAAAGCTCTGATTTCATTTATGCCTTTTCAGCCCAAGGTCAGCTGGAATGAAGTCAGATCTACTCCAGATTTACTTGCCCTCAGAGCTGTGCTCCATCAGGAATCAATTCTCCCCAGCCAAGAGGCTGTTAACCTCAGCTTATCACTTGTAGGTAGGAAAGGGAATGCAGCTTTAATTTAGAGCAGTTACAGGGGGCTGGGGGCTGTAAATCTTCCCAGAATTTCCCTGGATTCAATCCATGCACTTGAGTCAGTGCCTCTGCAGTGTGAATTTTCACTCACCTATAAAAGCCCGTGGCTGACAGGCTGACACAGCTCTCATAGGCAGTTTTAATCTGGCAACGTGAACAAGAGTTTGAAAACAGTGAAATGTACAACCAGCTCGTTCAAAATAACTGCACAAAAACATTTCCAGGAGGCCTCAAGCAGCAAATGTCCAGTGACAGACAGCTGTCACACTACCCAACTCCAGCACTGCCAAATCGCGATTGCAGCTGCTTCCCCAAACAGCCCCATCAGCAGCTACCAAGGGCAGAACTTGAAACATTGGCAGAGGATGAGAGCTGCTTGTGTTTGTTTGTCTCTCAGCTACAGGTTAGACTTTTAGCCTCAGGGACAAAGGTTAAATTGACAGGTCATCTTGACTTCAGTGAGGGAAATTCTACCCTGACTTCCAAATCGCAAAGTCAAAACTCCTCAGATGAAGAGCAGTGCCTTACAGCCCATCCATCTCTTCTCACTGAGGGACAGATATTGCAGACAAGGAGCACTACAGGGGCTGAATGGCAGCTCAACAAGAGCTGTCTATGCTACAGAATCCCTTCATTAAAAATCAAGTTTCCTTGGGAAAAGGAAAGATCCTTTCCTGTCCAAGACTGTAGCCTGACTACAGAGATAAACATAACCACTCGAGACTTTTGTCTGATGGAGTTTGTCATAGGCAGGCCCCAAAATCTGGAGAAATCTCAGGATTCAATTAATAACTGATGTCTTGGGGATGACCTCTTGTAAGTTTTAATTACTTGGAAGTCTGTGCCAGGTTTGTGTTTGACTGTCTTTGCTCAAATCTATGCTAGCAAGGTGCAGAAGGCCTGGAGGACACACCTGCACATGTGGTTTGCCAATTAAAACAATCTCTGACAATGTCTCATGACTGACACAAACAGCTTACCCAGTCTTCCCAGGATCCTTTGGGATTAGACTGCTTGATTGGCTCGAGTCTTTTTAGGATAGTCTGACACGCATTCTAGAAACAAAGAGAGTGAGAAGAAATACTTTGAAGATTTGAATAGCCAGCTCATGGTATTAAGAGCCCTCTAAGACTTTTAAAGAACCTTGTATTTAAATCAATATTGCCTTCTGGACTTTGGCAAATCATAAAAAGGAACAAAGTTCACTAATGGATGTCTTGCTAGATAGGAAGAAATGTTGCCTGAAAAGGATTTTAAAGGAGATTGGCTGTGCTGACAGCAGAAAGGAATCCCAAATTCAGCACTGAACTTTCTGGACCATGACACAAAATATAAGAAGTCTGCTCATTTATACATTACCTGTACCCCATCTGACAGGACAGTTCAGCGTAGCTTACAAACTAACACTGAAAGAACAAAAAATTTCTTCCTGAAATTCAACTACACAGATAAGCTGTGCAGAGAATAAAACCAGCCTGATTATTTTACTTTCCAGGATTGCTTCCCCCTTGTCTTTTAAACTGAGAATGACCAGTACTAAATTCTTCTTTTAAAATGGAAAAATCACATACCCAGCAAATATATACATTGGTAACTCCACCATGGCAGGCAGCCACGACCATGCATGCCATTGCTACAGCAGAACATTTGCTCTGAGCTGATCAACCCTTAGAGTTGGTGGAGCACAGCTCTCAAACCATTTGCTATTAACACATGCAGCAAAATACATTTGTTACAGATAAGGCTGTATCAATTACTTTGAAGCTGGCTATTTAAATGGATGCTTTGTTCTGCTCATGAGCAATCCCAAATACTCTATTTTTAGAACTACTAAAGGATTGAAGGAGAGTTTCAAATAACTTGAAAAAATACAGTAATTCACCATCTACTGCCAATGCTATACCAGGTAACGTTATGAGACATCCTTACACTAGAGTTGCCTTTTGGTGGTTTCCTTAAGCAACAAGAGACAAATACAGGGCAGCTTTCCATGCCCTGGAGCCCTCCCTTGTCACCCAGGGCTTTGAATAACTCAGCTCCCGTACATAGACGGCCATTCCGTTGATGTCCGCGCTGACGGAAGCGGCTGTCGGGGACGTGTTTGGGACAGTGTTGGTGCTGGTCTCACTGATGTAAATTTTGGAGGTGGGGACTCCCAGGGCCCTGCTAGCAACCTATGAAGCAAAGGCAAACAATTGGTAAGCAGCACTTCTCATCCATGAGCATTGTCAGTCATTGCTGGCACTCCTGAGATCCACACTGCAACCTGTACCCTCTCCCACCATAAACTTTGTTTTTTCCTGCAGACTGAGTTGTTCCAGTGACTGAGATCGGGCCAGGACATTGTCATATTTGAATTTCACAGACTGAATGTGTGTGAGCACACACACTTTTGCCACAATGACAGACATTCACTTCACTATTATGAGACCAAATTCTTCTCTCAACAGTTAAAAAAAATCAGAAGAGCAAAAGCCCCATGAGATTTTCCTGTGATTTTCCTGTCAAAGGAACTCTGCTCCCTTAAGCCTTTTTAACTACAAAAGCACTAGCACATGCAGATATATATGTTTTCAATACAACTGATTTTTATATGAAATGGATAAAAACTGTACCTCTAGGAGGTGAACTGAAATTGCTAGAGTAGTTAAACTGTGAGCATGACCTGCATTATTTACATAATGAGATTTAAGATGATGAAGAATCTAATTCTAATACTCAATTGTGATAATACTCTGGAAATCTAGCACTGCTGCTCAAACAATGGAGAGGAATCAGTCCTGATTTGTTACTCTCTGCATGCACACGGAGGAAGTGTCAAGGTGCCTGAGGCAGTACTGTAAGGAGAGTGTAATTGTCCTGAAAAGATATCTCATTCAGTTAAGCCCAAACTCATTATTACCTGAATCATCTTGGTGTGAAGTCCTTGACCCATCTCAGTCCCACCATGTGTAAGTAACACAGAGCCATCTGTATACACATGGAGCAGGGCTCCAGCCTACAGCAGGGAACATTAATCATCATAAATTAACTAGAGCAGTACTTTGCAGGCTACAGAGAGAATTCATTCAGAACTAGACTAAGGTTGTGCTTTGGCTCAACTAAAGCCACTTGTTTACACTTGAGATGAGTTTGGTTTAGTCTCATCAACTCACTAGATGCCCCAGTGACATAACAATCCCCAGTCAGTATTTTCGGCTCAGAAAGCAGATGAAATAATCCAGTCCTGCCTCTGTGGAACACAGATGCACCCTTCACCTCAACTTTCCAACACCACTGACAGCTCATCAAATCAGCTCAAACACAGGAGCAATGTTTCTGCTATTGAGGAAGGCAGGAAAATCAACCTAACACAATACCATGGAAATGCAGCTATACTGTAGTATCTTTGGGACAGTATAAACTGGAAACTGTTGTGGTGCTCATTTTGGCTTGTAAAATGTGTGCTCTTTCTTAACTAATTCACTACTTCTTCAAGAAGCTCCAGTTTGGTACAAATGGAGGAAGACCTGGAGGAGGCAGCATAAATCCAGCTTCTCTAGTGAAAGGGCAAATGACATTTACCGACCTGGTTCAGAAATGGGACAGTGAAACTGATGCCAAATTTGGTAGGAATGATGCTCATCCCTCTCTTTTTCCAGCGGTTCTGCCTGCAAGGAAAGAACATTATTCGTATACCCATGAGCTTTTTATCATAAATCTCTTCTGACTTCCCTCTGACTGTACATCAAATGGAAATAAAACACTTGACTATGATAAAGACTGAGTTCATCACTAATTTGTATTAAAGGCTTTCTTTGTTCCAACAAGAGGAAATTGCAACTGAAGATGCTTTCTGCAAGCATTATAGATTGTACATACTGTTAACTGTTCAGTTGTGTATACAAGCCAGCTAAAAAAGTCTGAGGCAGAGGAAAGCATAAACAGATTGCCTTGATAGTCATGTGAAAATCCTCGCTGGACTTAACAGATCCCCTCTTCTTTGCTACAATTCACTTACAAAATCACATCATGCTGGGTCTGATTCTGGCCCTATTTATCCTACCAGCTCACTGATAGACCTTTCCTGTAACAGTGAGCATAAAGGGGTTTCAAAAGGAGAAATATTTAGAAAAGAGTCTGTAAATATGAGGTGTGACTTCTCATCACTTGAGTTGCCAAGACAAGACAGCTCCAGGGCACCTACTTGTTAAATTCTTCAATCAGTTTCTTCCTGGCGTGATAGCCAGAGCTGGACAAACATTCATCCCAGCATCTTTGCAGAGTAAATCCCTCCAGCTTTTGGTTGAAATGAGTTGTGTCTCCTTCATGGTACAGATTGAGCTTCCTCACCTTCCCAAAGAGACACAGAAAGGACAGACGACATTTAATGCTTCAGACAAGTAGGGATGAGATCTAAAGTATGTTGGCTCCTGGTTTTACTCCTTGGCTTTCTATAAAGAACCAAGGAGCAAAACAATTAACAAACATATCTGTTTATGGGAAAACATGAACTAAGACATTAAGGATGAAAATTTTCAGAGATTGGGACTTAAAGCACATTGTCAGTGCAATTAAGGTACCTGGTGCCTTTGGACTTTCTTCTCTTTAATATCTATCCTTTAACCAGCTGTTACAAAATTGAGGCTACCAAGGAATTTAATTAAACACAAGATAATCCATGCTAGAACGTATCTGTCACACAAGTTTGAGATCCCGCTGGGAGCTCAGCAAAAATGAAGTAAAATTACTTATGCTTAAAAATCTCGTGTGGCTGATCAGTTCTCAGAGCTTGTTCAAAGGCAGCATCCCTGGAAGGTGTCCATGTGTCTGTACCTCCTCAGGGGGCAGGCCACACTTCCGAGCCACGTCACTCATCCAGCACTCAGCAATCATCATTCCCTGGGGCCCTCCAAAGCCACGGAAGGCTGTGTTGGAAGGCAAGTTGGTCTTGCAGACGATGCCCACGCTGCTGACATTGGGGATGTTGTAGGAGTTGTCCAAGTGTAACAGGGCTCTGTCCATCACCTGGTGAAGAAAAGGAATGGAGGTGGACACATTTTACATTAATTGGATGTCAGACTTCTCACCAGTGCCAAAACCAGACTGGAAGCTCTGAAGCTAATTTACAACAATCAGCACTTTCTCTAGCACCCTGCAGTGCTGCAGTCAACACAGCTGGATGAGCTCTGAGGTGCAGCCAGAATTGCCTCCCAGGTGCAATGGAATGTCAACTGCTGTCCTCCTGTATGGAATGCAGGGCAACCCAAATGTCTGGGAATGATTGGCATCTGAATCCATTGATTCAGAAGGCTGAACAATTGCTTTATTAAAATATACTATATTACATTAATACTGTACTATAACTATACTAAAGAGATACTATACTATACCAAAGATACTAAAGAAAAACCCATGACTGTCTGAGCCAGGACACAGCTTTGAGCCAATTGGCCAAGGAGCCAAAACAATCCTCAGCAGATTCCAATTGACAAATCACTTCAGGTAAACAATCTTCCTAATATATTCCACATGTGCAAAAACAACAGAAGCAGCAAGTAGAGATAAGAATTATTTTTCCTCTTCTTCTCTCTGTGCTTCTCCAGGGAAAATCCCGAGAGAGAAAATTATGTCTCTCTCTGTTCAGAGAATGTGAATGCCATACTCCTGAACAACAGGACAATAAGCACACTTCCCTGTTGACTCCTATGGCTCTGGGACACATTGAGCTTGAAAGTCCTTTTTTGGCCCTGGGCTCATGCTGAGTCAAACTGTCAGTAAATGCCATTGGCTGTCAGGAAGAAACAGTTTTCTTTTCACTTCTCACATTTTGAGTAATCTAATACTGGAAAAGTGACTCAAGCACTGGGCTATGGCAGGAAGGGCAAACATATAAAATAAACATTTTCAGTAACTACCAAACTGCAAGATTTGAGATCTTTGTCCACTTATTGTCCACATTGGGAAAGGGCCAGAACTTCTTTCTGGCTTGTGTTTCCAGATTTCCCTTCCAGCAGCAGTACAGAGAGGACATGACACACAACCAAACCTTTTCTCTACATGGAGCACTTTCCAGTCTCCTGATTCAGACATAGTCAAAAAGGCAATTACACAGATGTGCTCTCAACCAGGCCCTCAGCTTATGCAAAGACACTTGCCTGTCATAATTGCCTGTCATTCTGCTCTGCCCAGCACCAGCCACATGGCCAGCATCAAATGTGGTGCTGGTAGAGAGCTCCTGCAGTTCTTTCCTATTGAAAAGGATCCATTTTTGCAGAAAATTATCAAAGACTTGGTGGACTGGAGAAAGTGAGCTAGAATAAACCCGAGTGACACTAGGCTATTGAGTTGGTCCCTCACATGACAAAAAAGGAGAGTTTTTTACTCATCAGGGCAAAACTTTATGGAGACAAACTCAGAACTTGGGCCCATTTTTTGTTCTTACTGCTTGTGAGCACACTGCTGGCTTTAGCTAGTCCTTTACAAGCTTGCCCTGATCAACCTATTGACTGGGATGCTTCTTTCTCCAGAGCTGGGGATCTATCAGCCATCTTGCATTGTGCAACAACTTTTCCATCACAGCCCTCTGTAATGCAAAGCAAACATTCTTGACCCCTTTGCTCAATATGAGTTATTACAGCATCCATAAGAATTTTGTGGCACATGCTAAGACAGGTCAGCTGGCTCACAGAGCATTTGTAGAAGCTCCAAAAGCCCTTCAAATCTGTTTTTGGTCATGTCAAAGAGCTGCATGTGCAAGCAGTGCTGTCGGCAACAGCTCTCTGAAGGCAGAGCAGAAGGTTGCACAGAAATACACCTTCTGCTTAATTAGCTATCAGAAAATTTTACTTACACCATGAGAGAGGTCTACAGAGTTGCCCCCATTGCTGTAGTATGACACCTCCAGACTCTTGACTTTCCCATTCTTCATGAAGCCAACCTGTCAAGAGAGTGTCTCCTCAGTAATCACTTTCAACAAAATGTTCTGGTTTATGCTTTCCCCCAAAAACTGAATGGATCTCACATAAGCAGAGAGGGCCGACTCTCCCCAGTGCAGCACATGGCAGGCACAGCCAGCAGCTGAGAGAGTCCCCCCAAGTAAAGAGTTCATGCATGTGTCAATCTTGCTCCAGAGAACTCTTTTAAATTAAGTGCTGGCTGCTTGCCACAGCCATAATTTCTTCAACAGGTTTTGCTTTCAAAAGCAGCAGCTTTTGGAGGGGGATTGAAGCAGAAGGGAAGTTAACCAAGCACATTGCTGTGTAGAGGATGCTTTACAGGAATGGGCAAACCTCTAAAAGAAATGTGATTATCAGCAGGGTCAAAGTCTTGCTTGCAAGGAAGGCTGAGTTATTTCTGCTGAGGTCACAAGAAGGGAACCATCCAAGCCAAAATAACTTCTGCAGCACTTTAACAGGAAAAGTGCTACAGCCCATTTGCAGTGAGGGAGATCAGCAGTGAAACAACCACAGCAGCGTTTTTTCCCAATATCTTACTGCTCTCTGATGTCTTAGGGACAGCACTGAGAGCACATGGACTCTTTCATGTGTGTGCATACCTTGTACCTGCCCAGGAAGGGATGCCTGCCACCACTGACCAGCATGTCCTCATCTCGATCCAGCATGCAGCGCACCACACGGCCAGTTCTGGGAAAGAACACAGGGTTTTAGGCAAATCCTGAAATGTACAATGCAGCTCCTGCATAACCAGGCTCTTCTCTTTGTCTTTCCAGGGTGGCAATGGACAGTTAAGGGTAAACTGCTTGGTTCATCTACCTTACTCTTAAGAAAATGGCAAGACTGAGTAAAAAAAATAAACATCTCCAAAGCTGAGACCTATTTGTGAAAACTCTTGCAAAGACTCTTGTATTAAAAAAAAAGGATAGTTTCTTTTAGAGATAGATGCTAATAACTGAGCAATCACTGTTTTCCAGATGATTTCTCAAGGCACTCTTTCAGCTTTGAAAAAGACAATGCCACAGGAATTATATAATAATGCAAAGTGCTAACTAGCCTTCAATTTGACCTTGTTTTTTATTTGCTTATTTATTATCAAGGAGAAAAACAAGGGGGAGAGTAGGAGTGGTTCTTAATTTTCTAACAGTTTTGCCTTCCAAGTGCCTGTCTTCAAGTTGTACCAGTATCTAGCAAATGTCATATAAGTTGTTTTGTAGCCTCCAGGATGTCAAACAGTGGTTTGGCTGGCAGAGATAAAGAGAATAAAAGGATGCAAATGTATTACTGATTAATTAGAGAAAGCAGATTGTTTGCTCAGAACAGAAAAAAAATAAAGTTTTTTTTTGAGTTTCATTTTGCTTGTCCTCATCCAATGGTATTATGTCAATCTGCTGCTGTGTTGCAAGATACCTCAGCTCTGCCAGCAAGGGTAGGGCAGAAATGTCACCTCAGAGGCCATGTCCACCCAAAACCTGCACAGTTAAACATAAGCAAAACTCCAGAAACCAGGGGCACGCTTCCAATCTACTCTTTACAAATGGTTGCAACCTAGGTTAATTCCCTGAACTTTTAGGGGTTTGAAAAGTGTGGGTCCAAGGCCTGCTACCATTCCTAGGGAAAAATCCCAAGAGGGAGTTTGCAGAAGAGCAGACATATAATGATGCAAGACTGGTGTAGTAGAGTTTTGAACAAAGAAGAGATTCTCATACCTCTATTAAACAAAAATAACCATGGCTGGTGCTGGATTTTGAAATGGTTTGGGGTGAAGTGAGGGGGAAAGGCAAATAACTTGAGATCCAAGAGTTTTCAGAGAGTAAAGAATAAGGAGGTTTTCCCCCTTTTCCTATTAAAAGCTGCCATTCCTACATAAACTTAGCCCCTCTGGGCAGGTTCAATCCCTCCTACCTGCTAGGAACCCATTAGACACCTCCTTTGGGAAATCCCAAGCTTGCTCTAAGTTGTGCAGTAAGAAGACAAGCAAAGTATTGAAAAGTGCTCTGGCAGAAATGGTGCTCCAGAAAGAGGCAGTCTGGGACAGTCTGAAGGAGAAAAATCCCTCTTCCCCACACCTAAACTTACTTGAAGGCTGCAACAGCCACTACAGATGTCAAAATAGTACTCCTAGTCTCTTTTCCTCCAAATCCTCCTCCCATTCTTTTCACTCGAACCACAACCCGATTTGAAGGCACTCCCAGTGCATTGGCAGCAAACTCCTAAAGAAAAACAAAACAGCAGCACATGTAGGGAGCTCAGCTGGTGTTAGGAATGAAATGCCAACACATTGCCTTCCTGAAGCCATTTCAACAGTGCAAATATTGGATTTGATGGAATTGGAGCCAATAAACCAAGCATTTTATCTCTGAGGGGAAAAGGCACAGTGCTGCAGCACACAGGGTCAGATTCAGGAAAAGACTGACACAAAATGAGGTAACCCAGGCACAGGTGTCATTTAGCACAGCCTTTGACATCCATACCACCCTCACTGCATAGAGAGACCTTTGGACACTCTTGGTGAGCCAGCAAACAGAACAAGGACACCCCATGGTGCCAGTAGCCAATCTCATGGAATGGGAGAGCTGGTGCACTGCCAGTGGTTTCACCACCTCTCTTTCTCATGTGTCATTCAAGCATCATGTCTCCTGAGCAGCTGGGACCCTCCCCAGAAAGGGCCAAGCATGTAATCCCTCCTAACAAAGATGTGTTGCCAACAGAAATATCTCTGTCACCTGGAAGGAGATTCAGGATTCCAGCAGGATGGATAAATGCTTTAGATCCCATACCCAACTCTTAGCCTATGTGGTTTTTAATTGAACATTAAAATAAGAGCAACTACAAAACAACCATTCATCAAGTCTGAAACTGAGAAACAAATGCCTTTTAGGCACCAGGTTAATGAGAAGTACCTGTGTCTTCATTGGGTTTTGAGTTGACACAAAGAGTTCCATCTCACCATCTTCTCCCTTTGGCACAGCCAAAGTACAGTGAGTTTCCAGGTAGAAATGCTCCTGACCACCAATGTACATCTCTCCTAGAAAATTGAAATAAATGCCCCACAGAAAGGGCATCCCTGGTGTTATAAATGTCACTCATCACATGTTGTCTTCAATCTACTGCCTCCTGTACATGTGTTAAGTGACAACCCTTTGCGTTGCCCAGCACTGGATATCACTAGCTCTAAAACTGACACTTCTGGTTCAATGTTTAAAAACAACAAAAATAAACTCAAAACAGAACAATAAAACACGATAAAAATTCCATACATGCTTCCCTTCCACTTTCTATAAACCATAATTATAAAACACAAGTGGCTGGCATTTCGAAAATAGAATTCTGCACACCATGCCATTGTTCCAGCATCTCTGGAGATGCAGTACTTGGTGTCTTTCAAGACTGCCTCAATAACACCACTGAGATAAGAATAAAAATAAATCAAGTATAGTCTGAGTAGATAAAATACAAGTTTACAGACTTTGAAACAAGAGAACAAAAATAGAAAGCCAAAATGCCTCAAGATGATCTAACTGGGAATCAGTTCTCCATCACTGCTTGTGATTTTACCTGGCAGTGCTAAGGATACAATTTCCAGTCATGCTACACACAATTAAATGTCAGAAACAAGATCCTCTCTGTTCATTGTGGCCCATTTGCCTAAGATAAAGCCATACACCAGATAAAAGGAAATTGGCTCTCTATAAGATTTAGACCAGACTATGTCTGGACAGGGAAAAATTTCAGAAAATAAAAAAAAGCAGTTTGTAGAATATTTACTCAAGAAAAATGTGTGCTTTCATTGAAAAAAGAGTGTTTTCTGGGGGCACAGCTGGCAGCATCCAGGTCTGTTTGAAACAATAAAATTTGTACATCAGTCTGAAATGTATATGAAATTAATTTAGTCCTGCACACCTTACTCTCAGTATCATATGAAAAAAAGGAAGTTGACTTCTTTTGTCACAAACTATACTATTTTAAAAGAATTATTAATGCTTATTCTCACCCTCCAAAATGTGATCAGATTCTTCAAATCCTTTCTTCACATCTCCCTTATTAATCCTCTTTATATCCTTAAAGAAAGATTTTTTCTCAATCGCTTCCTAGGAAACAGAAAGACACAATGACAATTTTGTCTAAGTGGAAATGAAATCAAACCTTCCTCTAACTGAAGAAATACCCAAGATAAAAAGCACAAGAACTTATCAGACACTTTCCATGGTAGTCGCCAAGAGACTTGACTAAAAGCAATAGAAAATAACTTTTGGCAACAAAGCAATTTCACAACCAACACCACCATAGTTGGACAATCTTAAGTTACTCCTTGTGACTTGTTTTACATTGTGGACCCAGAACTTCAAGGGTCCCTGTAACCACCACAGCTATAACTTTATAACTTACAAATTATATTAACTCATGTCTGTAGCCCATAGGGTAGGAGAAAGGGGAAAAAAAAGAGAAAGAAAATGAGAAAGAAAAAATGAAACCTCTCAGATGAGAAGTGCAGAAGTAGCCCACTTCTGAGCTAATGTACAGGGAAGTACATAAGGGAAGTTTAACAAAGGCATTTTCCTTTTGCCAAAACTGAAGCTTTCCATGATGAAAACAACCCCCACCAAATATTAAGCAACAAAGCCAAAAAAACCACCAGCACGTTTTTTGGCTCCACTCTCATGTTCCCTGGGTGAATGAACAACTAGAAGCCTCAGAGAAGGCAAAGGTCTCACACATTGTTTGTTAATCCACAAATCACCCAAACAACCCAAAATCTCTGTCCTCAGATGACAGTACCAATGTCTGCACCAGACAGAGTCTGTGCACTTTCTATTTACATGAACACAAATTCATGTAAAATTCATTACACAATACATGGTATGAAATACTGACTGTTAAAAACATGTCATTAGAATCCTGTGTTTCTAATTTCTCCACTAAAAATGGCTTGATACATCTTTCTTTCTCATTTCTAGAAATGAATGCTGTGCAGGTATTATCATTTGCTTTTACTGTCTCATAAGGAGACCTTGTCAGCAAATTTTCTAGTTAAAAAGGCATGAAATGATCATGCATTGTTGATATTAATTTCTTCAGCTTTGAGAAAAACCGCTTAAAGACTGTGGCCATACAGTTCACAGCAGGGAGTGAACTCCTGAAAATTAATTTCATCAGCTTAGAAACTACACAAGTGTTCTGCAGAAATCTCAGAGAAGCAGTGCAGTGACAGAGCTAGAAAAGACATTTTCACACATTATTATTGTTTGTTATAAATGACGGAATGAAGAGGGAATGGATATCAATGAAGCCAGCAGGGTCAGACCAGAGAATATTAAAACCAAAGTTCTGTGGGCAAGAATGTAACTCACAGTAACCTTGTTTATTTAAACAATTTTCTGTTGAGCACAACATTATCTCCCCGAGCTTGATTTATTTGTTTCAGCTTTAAATAGCACAGAAAAAGTTAATGTACTCTAGATCAGCAGGGTACCAAAGATGTACCTTCTTTATATTGAAATACACAAATGATTCCTTCTATCAGTGTCCTGTTGCACCCACAAACACAAAGAAACCATGGGGCTCAGTAACCACGAGTGTAAGAACAGAACTGGACAGCAGAGGGTCACAAGCCAACTGCAGATGCAGAACTGAGCCATCTTACCTGAATTGTGACAATAGGTTCAAGTTCTTCATACTTGACCTTCACAGCTTTAGCTGCTCTCCTGGAATGCTCCTGTGTGTCTGCCAGGACTGCACCGATGATATGGCCCACACAGGTGACCTACAGGCAAGATTGGGACCCACCATCACTTGGGGTGTGTGTCTGCAGTGATGAGAGACTCATGATAATTCTCTATTCCTTTTATGCAGCTTGTTCAGACCAGTCTATTAAAAATCAGCACCCAGGGAGAATAATCACAAGGAAATTTGTAGCGAGTGAGCCTGTCCCAGGGGGCTGCAGCTTAGAGAAGAATTGAGGAGATAACAGAGGAGAGGGGCACAGGGCAAAGGGACTTGGCCCTTATTGAATTTATCACTAAGATTTCTATTGACCCCAGTGCAGTTAGAATTAACTCTGTATAAGGTAGAGGACTTGACAGTATGAGCAATGTTACATCCTGAGCAGCATGATTGAAAAAGGCTGTTTGTAGCTACATACCACATCCTTAGCAAAGACAGTCTCATCATTAGCGATGCCAGTGACGTTACTGCCAGGAACATCCTTGGCAGAGACAAAACACACAAACCCAGGAACACTCTGAGCTTCAGATGCATCTATAGAACTAAAGAAAGAAGGAGAGATAGTGTTATTTCTCATTTTTTCTTTGTGTAAGCAATTATGAGGTTCCAATACAAATTCAGGCCTGACTTCCTTGAGTTTGGCTACGCCACATGGATATCATGTGAGACTGTGACAGCGTAACACATGAGACTAAAATAATTTGGGATCTATATCAAAATGTTAATCCTGACTGTGAGACTGATCAGCACCCTGCTTCTTGGGACTATGCCCTACATCTTTTCCCCAAAACACATCTGAACTTGATCCAGTTGCTACACGTACTAAAGATTCTTTGATAACCAGTTGGTGCTAGTGATGCTGTGCCTCCACTTGTTGCCATGATTCTTGCCACGAAGGCAAGAATATGGATAAATATGAAATTTTAGTGCTGACATGTATCATCTGCCATGGGTGAGTCAGGAGAAATTGTTGAGGATCAATCACAAGGAAGCTTCAGGGCTTTTAAGAGGATGCCAAAGAAGTGATGCTCAAAAAGACAAAAACCTTCATGAAAGGCTTTCTTTAGTAATCAGCAAAAGTATCTATCCAAAATGCTTGTCTGCTTCAATCATATATAGATTTAAAACTCAGTGACAAAATAACTATAAAAGGGCAATATAATTTAATTTTTACATGGAGAACTTTGTAAAAATATATTACAAAAGACTTAAAGGATCCTTTTGCAATATTCTGTACATTGGTTTTACAGAGAAACAGCTGTGAATAGAAGTGCTGTGGCTTTGATTTTGCCAGCTGAATGATTTATTGCCTTCTGTAAATTGTTGCAATTTTTTCAGCAACTTGTTTAGATTCCTAAAACTTTGATATAAACTGTGCCTGAAAGCAGCTGTTAATAAATCCCAGTGAGCCACAAAGTTTTTTAAAAAGACATTAAATGTATGAATGAACTTTCCCACATGAACCCGTAGACAGCAGGAACTCAAAATGCTATTTTTCTTTGGAAAGTTCTCTTTCCTGTGTTTCTGCAGCAGTAGCTCACAAACAGCCCCCTAACACTTTCCCTTAGTTACAAATGCAGAGGCAGCTGGAGTCTGATTTACACTTGGTGCTCAAAACCTGACTAGGATGAACTAGGTGGAAGTTTTCAGAGTCAATATTTTGACTGCCAAAACCATAGGTTGATACTTTTGTCCCCTGATTAAATATTCTCCTACCTCCTCTGCAGAAAGCTACAGGCTCCCGGCCTGAAATACACAGGCCTGTGTACACAACATAAATGCAAGGGAATGTGTACAGCAGCTTCTAGAAAACACTGCATGTTGTGGTCACAAGCATGGATGAGATGCCTTCTCTATCTCTCCATCTGCCCTGGTGGCAGTAACACCACTTAAGTGTCTGCATTGCACACGGCAACACCTAAAAGTTAACTGTGATGAGCAGAGCAGTTTCTTTCATAACCTGGGAGCCAATTACTGCATCTGTGCATCCCATGCCACAATGGGAAAGCTCTGCACAGGAAGCCTGACTAGGCAGGAAGCGTTGCCTAAGGAATGAACAGCACACGGAAAGGCTGTTGAGGATGACACGAGCCAGTGGAACACAGAGTGTCCCTCATCAAAGCAGCTGAGGGCAGATGAGAGCCTGCAGAACCACCACCACATAAACACAATTAGGGTTTGTGGGGGCAGCCAGTCCCGCAAAATGACAGCATTAAAATCCATGTGAGAATGTGGATGGCATTACCTGCCAGGATTGGCCTTTAGGAGTTGGTTATTCACTGTTGCTATAAATTAGGTACCAGTCATGCCCTGGATGAACAAGATGTTTTCTGAGACAGCTGCACTTCCAAATACTGACCTGTCCACCAAGCACAAACAGGGCTACACCTCACAGCTGAAGCCAATTCACAAATTCCTTTTGTGCAGAGGGCTTGATCAGAGCCAGTGCAGGCAAGCACTGCGCAAGGCAAAACCCAGTGCCCACAACTGAACCACCAACAGGAGAGCTGGTAGAATTACATCTTACAACCTAATTTTTCAGGCAGATACAAGGAGAATCTTCCAGCTGCATGCTCCGGTTAGTGATTAAAATGACATCCCAACCTCTGTGGTGCTCTCCTACCCTGCTCCTTTTTAATCCTGCATGCCTGAGTATAAGAGATGGGAAATGCAAAAAGTTTGGCCTAGGCCGAGGGCTTTTGTGCTTCACCAAAGCCCAAAGTCTGGTGTTGGTTCCCTCACATTCCCACTGACAGCTTGCAAGGCAGCTGTCACACACACACAGAGCTCGCCTCCATGTAACAATGTGCAAAGAACTGGAGTTCCCACCTAAGCAAAACCTTTCCTTCACCCACACCCTGACAGATTGATGTTTTCCAAGCCACCAGGAACAGGATGCTTCCAACATTTGGAAGGGAGAAGCAGCACTTACAGGATCTTAGCGTGGGCCTTGGTGCTGGTCACCAGCGTCAGGTACAGCTCGTTCTCGTGGTGAGGGATGTCATCACAGTACACAGCCTCTCCAGTGGCTTGTTTGGCTGCTGAAACGTGCACCAGAGGCCTGCCCACCATGTCCTCCACTGCCTGCCCCTTGGGCACTTCCTGGAGTAAAACACATGGCTGACTGCTGCTGGCTTGGGTGGAAGGGGATGGAAGCATTGATGGGAGAGCAAAGAGCACTGTGGGACATTCTGGTGAATGAGGGCTCAGTCCTGTGTGAAAGGAAGGTAAACAAGGTGCCACAGGGTGTGGCTACACAGAGGGGAGCTGTAGGGAATGAAGTGAAAGTAGTTTGGGTTTTGAAATTGCTATGAAAAGGGAAGGGTTTAATTTCACATCTTGCATAAGAAAGCTCAAGTTCTGAAACTGGATTCTACTCTCAAAGCTGAAGAGAATGGGTCACTAACAGAGAAATAAGAAAGAAGATACATGAGTGAGAGAAGATACATGGCCTGAGAGATGCCAAGAAAGGCAGGCTATAAATGGGGAAAACAGAAGGGGAATTTCAGTTTGGATATATAGCTGGGTACAGGAAGAAAAGCAATTTTTATAGAGCCCTCAGCAACAGAGAAAGCTTGGGCTCTCTTGGGCAATAACAAGAAAGAACAGTATTCTCAAGTAAGGAAAGGATTGAGACCCAAACACAAGCTTCATGCATGGCATTATCAAGGTTTATGTCATGACCATACTTGGAGACAAGAACATAAAGCACAGTTTGAGCTACAGAAAAGTCTGCATTTATGTCATGCTGACACTGCTACTTACTTGGGAAAGCTGCTACTTACTTGGAAGAGCTGGGCATTTGCAATGGGATCTTTGTGAAACAGCTCTGTAGCACTGATGTAGTTTGAAGGGACAGGCTCACACATAGTTTTCTGCCAGAGACATATTAAAGAAAATCACCTTCCCTTCCAACTCCTTTCTCACATTCCCCAGTGGCTCAGGATACTTTACATTCTCCATCTGCCACTTAAGGTAATCCATAATCTACTGAGTTAAAGGTGAGTGAGGCTTAGGCTCTGTGTCAAGAACAACCACAGAGCCACAAGACCACTTGTAATGCAGCAAATGGGAGAAGTCCAGGAATCATCCTGTGAAACCACAGAGCCACAAGGAAGCAAGTGGGAAGACACACAAGTCACTGTTATGCAAGCAGTAGGGCAGCTCTGGCAGCTATTGCAGCATGGATTTTGTTATCAGGTGGGACTCTGCTCAAATCTGAATTCTCCCTGTGCCTCCCCCACCAAGGCAATACAAAGAGGTTCTCCTTCCCCAAATCTGCCTTGCCAAGGAGTACTCACAGTGCCACTCTTGCTCAGTTTCTGAAGGACTGTCAGGTAGAACTTGAAGAAGAAGCTGAGGGTGAGGGTGCGTCGGAAATCCACCATGCCGCCAGGAGCTGAGGGAGACGGATCCATCTCGGCCGACAGCAGGCGACAGGCATCCTGCAGCAGCTTCTCATTCCAGTCTCTGTGAGGGAACACAGGGGACACAGAGACCTTGTCAGACCTAAATTCACCAGGGCAGACTAACTCATCTGACACAGAATATGCTGAACTGGAAGGGGCCCATCAGGATGATCCAGTCCAGCTCTTGGCTTTGCACAGAACACCCCAAGGGTCACACCAAGTGCCTGAGACCATTGTCCAAATGCTTCTTCAACTCTTCAGGCTTGGTGCTGTGACCACTGTCCTGGGGAGCCTGCTCCAGTGCCCAACCACCCTCTGGGTGAAGGAACTTTCCCGCTGATATCCAACCTCAACATGCCCTGACACAGTTTGATGCTGTTCCCACGAGCTGTCAAGCAACAGCCAGCAGTTCAATCTGTTCATAGCACATGTGTGACCTTTGCTGTCATCTTGGGCTCATTTTACCTTCCCTAAAGATATGGCAAAGCTATTGCATGATAAAAACTCTGATTTTTCCATCCAGTTTGAAACAAACCCATTTTTGTAGCATATCTAGCTGCTGTCCACTTCAACTGATGAGTGAATTTGGAAAGAAAATGTCTCTCTGAAAGAAGGAATGGCATGGATCTTCGAGGGTAAGGCATACTGAAGGAAGCAAAGCATTACACAAAACACACTGCTGCAGAAGATTATACTTCTTCCCCTTTCTCTTTTGATGTACTTTAAGAGAGCATTTAGGATGTTTTAGATATTTAAAATGCTCCTGTAAAAATCTGCACTGTTCCATGAGACAACCTTTATCACAGGAAAAATTCCTACCTGCCAGTGAGTTCCTTGCAAGTTTTTAGTGCCAGGACAGTGGTAGGAGCCATTCCTCCATAGCTTAGTTTTATCTCCTGCACTCTGCTTGCGCCATCTTGGAACAGGACTCTCAGCCCACAGGTCACAATAGCAATGTCATCCTCACGACGGGAAGCCTGCTTGAAAGCTGAGAAGTATTCACCCTGAAAAACAGGAAAATATTTCTTTATCCTCTACCTTGGCATGCTTTGGAGTGAAAATGTGGACAAGCTGTTTACCTATCTCTAAGTGCATGAGCTATTCCAGGCAACAATATCTGGTTGATTCATTGTGCAGGGCCAAGCAGGACATGTTTGTTCAGGCAGCGCTGTTTATTTTCACAAAATTCAGTGATTAATTCTAATGTATCAGTTCAGTGGTTGTTACCAAGCCTAGAACTGTGGGGGAAACAAGCTTTGACAGAGATCTGCTCATGCCTGTCACATTTTTCCATATTTCAAGAGAAAGAACCAAGACAGATTGTTTGTGCATAAACAAAATTACAGTTTTTCAGCAAGTTTTTCTTCCTCAGAGGCTGCTAAGCTGGAAGTCTAATCAGTAAAACCCATATCCAAAACCCCTTCCCTTCAGAAGTCTTTGAAATCTGCAAGACCTGAAATCAGTAATCACAAATGTCTCTCAGTTCTAGAATAGACCAGAATAATTCAGTATTAATAATTCAGTCTATTCAGTAGACCAGAATAATTACTAAAAGCAAATTTAATCTGTTACAGGTAACAGAATTCTTAGTTACTATCCTGGTCTCCACAGAGCGAGGAAGCTGTTGTAAATGCACCAGCAACTGCAGTGCCCAAAACTCAGCAGCTCCATTACAAAGAGTGGCTGTAAATATGAGATTAACACTTTACCAGGATGCACCATGCAATGGTGACACCCTGGAGCCACAGCATGGTCAGTCCTCTCAGCACCTGCCTGTGCTGCAGGTGAGGACCAATTGCTGTTCAGGCACCCTGCAGGCTAAGAGAGGAATCAGATCTGATGCCTTTGCACTGCCCTTCTGGAGAGTTTTCTGACACATTTCTTCTCTCCAAGTGACTCCACACAGCACAGCAGTCTGCTTCATTAATTACCTCTAATCTGAAGTGGACAGCAATTCTTTCATTATCACACAGAACAATTTCTCTCCTCTTGACAATGACAACAGGTTCACAAGAAGCCCCTTTTGTGCAGCAAGCACTTGTTACTGGAGATATAACTGAAGGGTGTGCTTCATTTCCTGAATTCAAATAATTTCTCAGCAGCCAGCAGATAATAGCAGAGGAGCATCAATAGCATCCTTCCAGTGAGGACATTCTGCCACTCTGCTTGCTAAAACAATTAGCTTTCAAAGAGGAGAAAAAGCAGCCTCCTCTCTTACTGCATAATCAAGAGATTTCCAATAGCAGGATTGCAACAAGAGAGCAATATTGCCTTCCCTGCTCACAGGACACCTTAATTTTCTTCATTCAGAGTCTTGGAGGAGGAAAGGCACTCATGACCTTTCCTCACCTGGAGTGTAGGTAAGTGAACCATCACATCATCACATCACATGTCTGCCTGGGTCTCTTGGCAAACAACAGAGCAAGTTAATTCTTTCTGTTCTTTGGCCAGTTTTACCCTTGGTGTGATAAGTTACATGAATGCAAGGCATAACATCAGTTTCAAAGCAAGATAAACCAAAAAAAAAAAAAAATCCCACAAAAAACCCCCCAAACTATCAAGCTGTGTGCTGAAATGGCCCTGCTTTCATTCATGAGGAAACCAGAGTTGCAGAAAACTTTGCCTGCTACATAGGGCTGAAGCCACTGCCCCTGCTTGTAAACATTTGTTTGTTTTGTGAAATTGCCATGACACTGCCATATGGATGGAGGAATACAGTGCTTTCCATTGGCAACCTCAACCATGTTCCTCATTTTGGCAAAAAGTGATGCTTTTATCACAAAAGCAAAGAAGGATTGCCCAGAAATAGATGGAAAAACCACCATAAATAAAATAATTTTGTTCCTTTAGTAGTTAAATAGAAAAATTGAGAGGATAGACAAGAGATTTACTTGTTCTCTCCCATAATACAATGGCACTTGAAGTAAATCAGTGTTTTCCATTTATGAAGACAATGCATCACCATACTGCAAATCCTTGTATCTTATGACTAGGAGGCACAAACCCTAAGAAGGTAAACACCTTCACAAGCATAAAATTACAGTCTGATGTTCTCAGCCCTAAAGGAAAAAGCAGAGTTTTACTTCTTAGACACCGAATCAGTTGTGGTTTATGCTGCTACAGCCTCATTGGAAGCCCACATAGCCAAAATGCCCTAATAGCCAGTCCTTGTGGTTTACATCCTGCAGGAATGCAGAAACTGAACTTCTCTTTTATCCATACTGACTCTTCCCCATTTCATTTCCCATATGAGCTCACAGAAATTAAGCAGGAATCTTTGGCACATTAACTTCAGTCTACATCAGAAATTGCTAAAACCTTTTCTGTTCTGCTTTTCAAGAAGAACTTCTACCTCTGGGAACATCATTTTGACACTTCTCATTACCAAATGCACTCAAAAAGCTTCAGATAATAAAGTGAAATTTCTCTTCCTTGCACTAGAAAAATTCTTGAGCTTACAATACTTTATCATAGAGCCCTGCTCCCCCTGCCTGTGAAGAAAAGTGTGCTGCTGAATTTTCTCCAAATAATTCACTTGCTTCCTGGTCCACATAAGGAACTACATAAGCATTTGGGAGTGGGAAAAGGTGCCTAACTTTGAAAACAACACTTAAATAACAACATTTTAGCTCCACAGACACTGAAGTTTTTTTCTTACAAACTTACCTTTTTGCTGTAGGGTATTTCAACAGAGAGAAGTATTTCTTCAGGCTTAACTATTGTCTTTCTGTAGCCAGTGAAAAACTTCTCATCCATGGTGACTGTCCTTTTGCCCTCTGTAGAGCAAAGGGACATCAATGGTGAATAAATGAAAAATGGCAATATTATGTGTGGAAAAGTCTTCAAACCACACAAATCACTCTTGATATGATATCTGATTTCATTTTTCCACTCTCTTTCACCAAATCAGGAAAATCTTTCTCAGATGTATTTTGGTATTTATGGAATCTATAACAGCTTCTGCCTACATATTAAACTTTTTTTGTACATAAACTGATAAAAACAGATCTCCTTTATCTAAATAAAGCTTAGCCTCCAGGTGAGCCAGCTTCCAATACTAATTAAATCCTCCTCTTTCTCCTTTCCATAGCCTGCAGACAAACCCAGTCCACTGCCTGGACAGTCCAGTTATTTCAGGGATACTATTTAAAAAAAAACATTTCCTAAGAACAAATAAAAACTGAAATACTTGGCTTTCCTCTTGGAAACCCAAGTTTCAGTCTTTATTTGAATAAACCAGAAGGATTAAAGTATTGATAGTGACAGAAACTATTTATTGCCTGTTATTTTTCATTAGTACACATCTTCAACCAGCTCTTCACAAGGATGTGTCTGTGAGTATATACACAGTACCAGAGATTCCATCTGGCAAACAAGTTCAAAATTCTTTAGGATGCCAACCTGAGGTCTAGCTTTAGGACTTTAGCCTCAAAAAGTGTGAAAACACAGAGGACTCAGGCCAATAATGTTAATTTCCACTTTCAAGTTCTGGCCTGACCTAGCAACTCATGGCAGAGGGTTGCTGACTATCCCAGTCCCATCAGTGCCACAGGGAAATGTAATTAACTTACCTTTTGATATCAAAGTCAGTTTGCTTCCACTTGCCATTAACACAGGATTTAAGTCAGAAATTGGGCTTGCTGTCATTATGTTCCCACCAATAGCCTAGAGTGAAAATAATGCATCACAATTATTAAAATTCTATGCAATTTTTGGCCTTTAATTAATTGGGAAAACCAAGTCCCACAAAATCAGATGCGGTCTCAGACAATATTAACATTTATCTGAAACAGATTTAGAACAGTGTTTTGGTAATGCATCAAGATTACCTTATGCTTAAATCTCATATGAATTTTGGCATGGTCGTGCAATCACTGTACTTGCTATTAAGGGAGGAGCCATGAAAATAAAAAGGGTATTTTCAGTAACAGTCAGGACCCCAGGGTTTTGGCTGCAAAACAAATGCATGGCAGAGTGTCTTGTGGAACAAAAGTTCTTGTTTGGTAGGCTGGTTTAGCTGCTTGCTTGATATTTTTTTCTTAGAGCACATGGAGTTTGAGCACACCTTCCCTTTAAAACTAGAGAAAAATTTGCCAGCTCTGATACATTAACTCCATGACTGCCCTAGTTGCCATGGCTATATATATACACACCTGCTTCTTTGAAGTTTGTCCAGCACTCTAAATACTTTTTTTTTGTTCAATTAGTCAAATCTCACTACAGTTGCCCCACTTGGTGATAACAGCAATGGAAGAGCTGGAGAACTGCCATGTTTCCATGTGTGGCACCAGTGCAGCACAGACACCAGCTGAGACCCCAGCACTTTCTGGGGTTGAGTTTTGTGTGCTGGTTTCTTTCCCAAGGTTTGCAAATGTTCTCCTGTGAGATCCACAGGGCACACCAACACCTCTTGAGGCAGGGAAGCTCCTCAGACTGAGCTTTCAGCTCCAGCCCCTCGTGCTCCCAAGTCACTTACAGCAACATTCCTGATCTGAGGCCCTGCAAACCAGCGCAGCTGCTCCAGGACAGCCTGGAAAATCTCTGTTTTGTAGGGAGGAAGGTCTGCCACTGCCTTCCTCATCACCTCCTCTACCGACTTCAGCGTACAGGCAGCGCCGATGGTGACCCCTGTAAACAAACAAAGGAAAAGAAATGCTGTTTTCCAAAATTTTGAGGCACACAAGGACAGTTACTGTGTCTGCAAAATTCAGATGCCACTGAGTTCAATTAGACCTTCAGCTACACCAGGCTATTTGGAATGCACTGCATGTAAACATCAGATCCTCAGAATAAAATTCACCTTTAAAGCACAGCTCATGCTGGTGCTGTCTCCCACATGACAGTAACACCTAACAATACACTGATTGTTAATAATCAGTGTATTATTAACAATATTGGCCTCCTTTTGATATTAGTTTGTCCTTTGAGAAGTGAACTCCAAGTCCTTTCCAGTTTCCACACTTTAAATATCCTATCAGACATGGGGCCACATGCACTAAATTGTCCTAGGTACTTCTGTTTGTAAGGTTGACCCATTTCCATCACAAAGCTAAAGGCAATGGAATTATAGAATTGTTAAGGTTGGAAAAGACCTCCAGGGATCACTGAGTTCCGCCTCTGCCTGAACACCACCACATCAGCTAAACCACAGCAGCAAAAGTCACATCCAGTCATTTCTTGAACACTTCCAGGCATGGTGACTCCACTACCTCCAGGGGCAGCCCAGCCCAGTGCTAGACCATGCTTTCAAGTGAAAAAATCCTTCTGAATATCTCCTGGCAGAGTCTGAGGCAGTTTCCTCTTGTCCTGTCACTTGTTACCTGGGAGAAGAGACTGACCCCCACCCTGCTACACCCTCCTTTCAGGGAGTTCTACAAAGTGATAAGGTCACCCTTGAACCTCCTTTTCTCTGGGCTAAACATCCCCAGCTCAGTTTTTCACATATCACTCACTTGATTTGCAATGGGAAAATGGGAAAGATATAACATATACAGAATACAATCTTTAATCTGGGGATTTTCCTTCACACCTTCTTTATTCTTCCATGGAGTCCCCACTCCCCTCACAGGTGTTCTGCCTCATTTTTGCTCACCTGTTTCAGTGTGCTGAACAGCATTCATTTCAGGGATCCATGCTGGTGCTATTATCACTGGATACAGGAAGTTCTTTAACCTCATCTCGATACCTTAAGGAAAAGACAGTGTTTGGTACCTGTGACATGGCTACTGCTGCACATAATCCTTCAAGAAAGGAAAATTAATACAATAAACCCTATAACATTTAGTAATTGTTTCATGAACCAATTGCTCAAGACAACAGAATTACTAAATATGTCTGAACTCTCCTCCTCGTCACTTATGTTTTCAAAAGTCTCTATTTGGTGTGAGAAGGCAGTAAGATTTCAAGTAGTGAGAATTTTCTCACTGAAAAGTCCTTCAAAATGAAGCTTTCACAACTGAATTAATTTGATTATGGGGACATTTCATGCTGTGTCGCTTCTCTCTTCTCAAAATTGCACAAAATAGCTCAAAGGCTCAGAGATCTGGAATAGCATTTTTTTCACCTGCCACAGCAACGAATGGAGAAAAACATTCACTGTGAGATTTTCTTCTCAGGTAGATTAAACCTGTTCCTACATACAACCTGAAAATAAATAGCTTTCTAAAATCAATGACATGAAAGAGGTTTCCATTTGCACTGTTCTCACAAAATACTTAATGGAAGGTTTTCCAACTGTTCATGATAAGCATCAGCTCTTTCTCTTACCCACTTCTGTGTTCCCCACAACGAGTTTGGCATTGGGGTACTGGGATTTGAGAGCCACCAGTTCATTGAGAGTCGTGGGCTGGATCCACATCACACGCTCGCCTTTGAAACACATCTGCTTCTGCTGTTTGTTACTCTGGGTCTGCAGAAGGGAATTCAGACAGAGTTCAGCCCCTACTTCAAGCCAAGAATCCCTGCTCACGTGCTGCCCATGCCTGTGCCACGCTGGGCTCCATCTCAGCCAAGTTACTGACAGGGGGCTGGGATAGCCACACTGTGGTTGGCAGTTTGCCATTCCCCATCCTTCTGCTGGATGTGATGGAAGTCTTTCTCATCCTGACAAAAGCTCTCCCTTCCTGTTACTGCCAGGTGCATCCTGCTGCCACACCTCCCTAGCAAGATCTGTGCCAGCAAGCTCCATCTGACCAAGGCTTTGGCACATGCCCGTGGCTTCAGTTGCTTCAATGGTTTTTCCATTCTCATCTCAATCAAAAAAATGTCAGTTTTTAGCACAGATTAACTGCAATTAACCTGCTAGGCCAGGTTCTGATTATCCTTTTCACTACTTCACCCAGTGACGAAAGAAAACATGCTATCAACATGAAATCTCCTTGGGCAGGAGAACATGTTGGAGAAGAAACAGAGGAGCCCTATCTCAAGCTGAATCTATCTCATGCTATGGTCTAAGAGAACCCACTCATGCTGTAATTCATAACACATTTAAGCTGGGTACAGCAGCAGAAATAATGAATGAATTTCAGTTGTTAAATGTGAAGGAAGCTGTAAATGCGTCATGTGCTGGATTAGATTCCTGGCTGGGACACATTGCTTAGGGGGAGGATCCTTGAAAAAGACAGGAATGAAACATGGAGAGGAACTCATCTCACCTAACTCTTAATGTCATTGTGAGCCAACCAACTTGTACTCCTGCTGTGGTGAGGGGAGTTTTTTGAAAAGACAACTATTTGAGATATGTATTCAGCTACACCTTGTAATTCTGTAGTGGTTTTGCTTTGTCAATTTGAGATTTTATGGTTAATGTATTAATGTGTGATAGGTTTAGTCTTGGTTAATTATTAGTGTACTCATTTATTTTTTGTTGTGAGGTAGGATTAGGAGAAAGGTAAAGTAGGTTTGAAACACTAAAAGGGTATAAAGGAAAGTTTATTAATAGTAACAGGAATTAGAATAAAATACCTTTAGGACACTGCTCTTCCCCCCACAATCTTTTCTGTCCCAATGACAACGTAAAGAAACAAACCCTCAAATTTCAGTCAGTTTACTACTTCTAAAATGGTCTTTTTTGTTAATGTTATGGAGACTTCTCTACAAGAAAAGTGGTTCTCTCTATGAATAGCAACTGTCTGGAGAAATCTGCAATCATGAAAATTCTCTCATTTTCTACAAGTTTTTCTCACAGTTGTGTTTATGGGCCATGTCAACTTATGGGGTACTGTTTTGAAGATGAGTTGTTTAAAGGCAAAAATTCTCATTATTTACTTCTGAAGTTATTTTCTTCTTAAGGGCACAAGATCTTTATTACTTTTTTGTCTTTCTCTGTTTGAACTTTTCATAGGATTACAGTTACTTTAACATTTGCTTACTTTAGTATGAAGGCCTTTGCTTGATATCTACAATTGAAATACTTTCATCTCTACACCTTTATGTGTTTTAGGGGAAAAGAGTCTTCTCTCATATCTTCACAAGAGGATTTCAGCCTAAAACCAAAGGTATCTCCTCATTTCTCCTATCCAGGATTGCTTCTTCATTGACTTTGGTGTCTTCATGTTGTTGTTTGGACTCCATGATCTTTAAGGTCTCTTCCAACCTGGTCATTCTGTGAATTCCTTTACACTGTCTGCATTTCTGTTCCTGCTCTCACTCAGGGGAGGACTGAAGCATTGAAAGAGTTAATATTTTGTTTGGAGTTAAGAGTTAATAGTTTGTAGATGATTACCTGACCCAGGCCAGGCTTGGTAGTTTGTGGTGGGAACTGCGGCCAGGGGGGCTGATGGCCTCTCCTCTGCCCTGCCGGGTGGTTGTGGGTGAATATTTAATGGTGATGGAATCTTGGCCGAGCCAGCCTGGCCCAGGGAAGCTCTTAGGGCTGGCGGGTCTGGCTCAGCCCTGCTCAGTAGCAGCAGGACGTCAGAAATGGCAGCCAGGCCCAACATCGGCCCTGCGGCCTCTCCTGCCCTACCCAAAATCCAACAGGGTGAAGATACCCTGGGAAAAGGGTCCAGACCCACAGCAAAAACCACCCAACCCTTGTTACCTTTATGAACCAGAAAAGAAATAAAAAAAATCCTGAGCTTCTTTCATCTTTAACATGTTTTTTTTTACAAAAACACAAACTTTCCAGTAGCTAAAAACTTTACATCACTTCGATGAATGCATCTCATACAAAACCCCACCACAAGTTCCTACTTCTCGTCTTACACTATAAAGGTAACACAGGGAGAAAAGTTCAGATATATCTGTGTTTGAGGCAGAAGTTAACATCTTACCTAGTCAATTGACATTTGGATTTTAGCTACTGTTCCATCCCCGGACAGGCAGTGACTGGGAAGGAAAGCAACTCAAGAGCAGAGAGACACATGGTGAGAACCAGAAAGAAAGCCAGACTGCTGGAGCAGGCACCTGGCCTGCATATTTCTTCTAAGCCATCCTGGCCCAAACACCTTGTGTTTTATAAAACAAGAAAGGATTCATGCCCATGCATTTTCATTCATTAGCAGCCATTTTTGCCCTGCCATTTCCTCAGGACAGAGTTACTCAAACCTTGTGCAGAACAACTAAGCCAACAAATCACTGCTATTTCTTTCTGAATGAACTTGCCATTAACTCTGGTGGGAAGATTGGCTCCTGTGTGGGATCCAGTGGCTGAAACTCAGAAGAATTGAACAGGCTGGAGGAGGTCATTGTCTGTGACAGAGAAAATGCAAATGGCTAATGACTGAGGAGAAAGCTCTCCACATATAACCATAACTCATTCCTCTTTCAACTCAAATCCCTGTTACTATTTTATTAAGCAAAATACAGCAAACACAGCAAAATGATGCCACCTGATTCAGCATTTAAGGTTCTCCAGTCATATTTTTCTGATTCCCCTGCATGTCTTGTCAGAACCCTCAACGCACTAATACATTTTAGTCAATCAGAAGTGCCATCCCTTTCACATTGGCATGTTAAATCATGTCAAATACACCTTTTCTGAGGTCGGCTCTTCTGACCACAAAATATAAATTAGTCTAAATTGCTTTGCCTAGATATTGGTAAAATAAAAGCACCAGGCTTGGGCATGCAATAAAACATCAGAAATAATGAAAAAGTACTAAAAGTACTAGTTGAAAGGCACCTTACCACACTGTCCTCTTTTCCATTCATGCAGCAGCCTGGACCATTGGCCTTGCCTCCACAGCAGCCCCCATTCTGAAGAACAAAAAAGCACACTCCAGCTATTCTAAACATAGTCAGAACTTTGTGACTTCTACAGAATAGTCCTCCTTTCCTATCAATCCCCAGATTTCAGAAATGTGCAGTCACATTTTTCATTAATAAACTGCTTGAAAGAAAGGACTCCAAGCAGTCTTAATTGTTGGACTATTCCATGCAACACTGGATGCTTCCTAAAACCAATCCAAGAAATTCCTTGGAAATTTCTGGTAATGAATTTCATTGTATTCTCTGCTTCTTAAGTTTATTTTATACTCACACTACCTTAAGCACCAATTTCTTCTTTCCATTCCTTAATTTGTTTTGTACCTAGACTGATACATTCAATGTGATCAACTTTTTTCCCCTCCAGATATTCCAAAATATTTCAATTGCACAGTTTTGGAACAGAGAGGAAATTGCTTCATTCATCACTGGATGGCAAAGTTTGGGAAAGATCAGAGTGGGGAATTTAGACCTGTTTTCACAGAAAATGTATCACTTCAGTGCACCAGAAGCTGGTAATAGATTGCTTACAATTGTCACCATGCTATTTGACAGAAGAGTTGTTCCTTGAAGACTCAGAAGGAACATCACTGTTTTAAAACCCACATCACAATGGCCATTCATGCTCATTGGGACATACATCCTCAGTATTTTCCAAGAGATAGAAAACAAAAACAGCTCAGAGAAGTTCTGAGTATCTGCACCACAGCAGAGCCAGAGAGGTGACTAACACATCAAAGCTCCAAATGCTATATTGAAAATTGAGGTTATGGGTCTTAACATCCAGCTTACCATGGTATTTTCCTTCCCACTACGACAGCATCCAGTGCCATTGGCAACTTTGCCACAGCAATTCATGTCCTGTGGGAACAAAAACTGTTCTGAGGAAAAATGTGCAGATTCCAAGGAAATTAAGTAGGTTTGATCCCCTTTTGAGAGAAATATCCAAAGCAGAAGGAAGGTGCCAACCACATAGGTGTTTCTCTTGCCAATGGAAGGCAATATCCTGCAGTGTGTCATGCATGCCTACCGTGCTGATAAACCTCTTGTTCTGGTTTGGAACTACTCTGAGAAAATTCATGGCAAAGCTTCATACTGCACCTAAATCACCAGAAGAATTCTGGGCAAGAGCTATAAAATAGTGATTTCAACTTCTTTCCAGAGTTATTCCTGCTCAAAAATGCAAATTCCTCCACAGCATGTCCCTACCAGTGCACCAAACCTTCACAGGTAATTCACACCAGGATCAGCTGCAAGTTGTATTATGCAGAGAGGGTGAACTTTTCTGAGACTGAGAGAAAAGAGTTACAGAGTGTGATTTCTTGTGATCCAGAAAGGGACTATCAGATGGATCTTATTTAAATGTCCCCAGCAAGTGGAGAGAGTAAAATATTTACTCTATCTGAATTATTAACACATGAATCACATAAACAGAGGTCAAGAGTTGGAGCTGGGTTGTTGGAACATATATATTTCCTTCCTCCCCATTTGAGTTCATAGCATGTTTCAGTAACAGAAAGACAGCCAGCTTTCCAGGTTTCTTTAAAACATCATCTGAAGCCACTTACTTTAGCAAATGTCCTGTATCCTTCCAGAATGGGTCTGTAGCCTGTACACCGACACAAGTTCCCTGCATTGTCAGAGCAAAAGGATAAGGATTTAGTGTCATTTGGCTAAAAATTTATCTTCTTTTAAAACATTCTATTGTTTCCCACAAAAGCTTGTCAAATCTTGATACAGCTAATGAAAAAAATGGGAGGAGGAAAATTTCATTAGGAACCTTGCAACAACCCTACCATTCCTTTTTGTTGAAATTTAAACTGAAATTCATTTAGAACAAATTCAATCTGTCTTATTCAGTATTCATTTACCTCAATTGAGTGAGTCTTATCAGTATACCAACTAGTCTGTCTCCTGAATTACCCAGAGATTGCTTTCTCCTGCATCATCATTCCTCTCAGATCACTGCTGGAAGCACAGTGATGACTCTAACCTCAGCACCAACAGCAGCCTCTCACAGGATTTACACAGTTGGGTTCTGCCCCACTCCATCATTGCACGTTCCTGTCTTGGTCCTTGACTTGAGGACAAGTTCTCTGTCACTTCTGCAGGCTGTTCTGACAGCAACGAATAAACAAGGACACTTTCATGCCCCTCAAGGACAGGCCACCTTTTGGGCTCCTAATCCCAGACTGAGGCCATTTGAACCTGCTTATGAACTATGATGTTCATTTCATAGCACCTGGCTGGTCTCCAAGTGAAAAAGCTACTTCTTAGCCTCACAGCCACCAGCTCTTTTTAACAAAATACATTGAATAATGGTGCACCTCCATCCCACTGAGTGAAGCAGATGTAAATAAAGCAGAACAGGTTGCACCCCTGCAGGGCTGTGAATATTACCTTGGAAAGCATCTTCAATATCCTCCATGTGGGGCTCGGGGTTGTTCCGAAGCAATGTGTACATGGACATGACAATGCCTGGAGTGCAAAAGCCACACTGGGACCCATGACTCTTGGCTATTCTCTCCTGAGATCAAGTAAAAACCACAATTAGCCCATAATATCAAGGTGAGTTCATTGTTGTGTTTGTTTCTATTACACTAGTGTTAAAAGCAAAACCCAGTATCACAGAGGAGTTAAGATTATCATCAGATGTTCTCTGGTCAATTAATCTATGGGACAGCCTTCAAAGAGGAGAGCAGCTTGAAAAGTTTGCACCTAGGCTTTTATTGTATTTGTGGGGTGCCCTGGGGCAGGAAGGAATGGTGAATTTGACTCCATGTCCTTAGAAGGCTAATTTATTATTTTATGACACTGTATTATATTAAAGAATGCTATATTATACTAAAGAATACAGAAAGGGTACTTACAGAAGGGTAAAAAGATAATAATGAAAACTTGTGACTCTCTCTAGAGTCTTGACACAGCTTGGCTGTGATTGGCCACTGAGTGAAAATACATCAAAAACTAATGAAACAATCACCAGTTGGATAACCAATCTCCAAAGACATTTCAAAGCAGCAAAACACAGGAGAAGCAAATGAGTTAAGAATTGTTTTCCTTTTTCTGTGAGGCTTCTCAGCTTCCCATGAGAAGAACCCTGGGCAAAGGGATTTTTCCAGAAAATATGACTGCCACAGGCTTTGAACTCAAAGTGACTGAGGGCCACTAGAAGATTCCAAGGAGATCAGGAATTCTTCAGATTTACCATGCTAGCAAGCTTTGGGTTACCTGCCTAAACCTGACTTTGAATTTCAAAACTTCGCTGTCAGAATCTCCAGGTGGGAGGACAGAAAAGAAGACAAAGGCTGCCATCCATTCACGCACATTGAACTTATTTTTCACCTTGTTATTCACTCCCTCAAATACTGGCACAAGTCCTACCCCTTGTGCAAGCTGAGATGAATCACAGTTTACCTTAAGGCAGCAGGTCTGACAAAGAGAGGCAAGGCTGCATTGTAGCACCTTGCTACAAGAGCAAGGATGCACACGGCTGTCACTCCTTCTCAGCAAGAATGTTTTGAGACTCCAGAAACATCACTGTACCAAAGCTTTCTCCACTACTACAGGGAAGGTTCCTAACTATGCAAGATCAGAAACCAAAGTCATTTGTTGAAGGCCATAGGAGAGCCCAAACCTATGCCAAATTTCCTAGCTGCAGGTCATTAGATTGGCTTTCCTCACAACATCAATCTTCCCAGACCAGGATGTGGAGAAAATACAGCCATGCAAATGCAGCCCAAGGACAAAAGCACTGGCAATTCAGCCAGGATAGCATGAGTTACCCTGTTAGGGGCAGAACAGAACCCTAGCATTGCCTCAGGAGTTTGGTTCTGTCACTCAGCTATTCCTGCAAGTATGGATTGCTCATGTGGAGAGTCAGCCCCATGGCTTTAGCGAAGGAATAGGTTTAAGTAGCACAAGAAAATATGCACAGAGGGTTTTAAAGTTCCCAGTATTAATAGCTTACCTGGGCTGGGTGCAGCCTGGATTTGGTGTTTCCTATGCCTTCAACAGTAGTTACAGCCACGTGATGCAGGGCACAGACAGGGAAGAGACAAGCATTGGCAGTATGGTGGCTAAAACACTACATTAAGGTCATTTCATTTAACACTGCTGCTCAGCAAAGGAAAAAGGGAACAGGAGCAGTGAAAAATACTCAGAAGCTACAGCAGTGAACATAATAAGAGCACTTAAGTAGATGTGATACAACAATTAATTACAAATCAAGTCCTACAGCAGCACCAAGTAATCCAAAGTTCCAATAAATATCCCTTGCAGTTTGATCCAGGTATACACCATAGGATTTCACCTAGATGTAGCAACTTTAAACATCCCTGTTGCACATAACCCACAAAAGTAATTTACAGGGGCAGACCACAAATACCAAGATGTTGTGCAGCTGACACCTGCAAAGTTACATAAGAGACTGGAGTTTTGTTGGGTTTTTTTCTTTTAGCTAGAAAGCTGTTTCTAGATGGAAAACATGGGGGAAAAGTCTAGACTGAAGGTAAAAGAGATTAATGTTGCCAAAACTCTCATAAAAACTAGCTATTTTATCTCATTTCAATCAAGACAGAATAAGGACCCTAAAGATATCTTGTTTATGGCTATTAAGAGAGGATCCAAGTTATAGTATCTCCAAGCATTATTCCAAATATATTAAAGATTTCAGTGCTTTCTGTTCCCCACAGCAAAACTAAACTGAGGCCTGTCTCTGTCTCATCCTCTCTTTGAATTCCCCTTTGTTTTTATTCCATTTATTCCCCTGTCAATTAATTAAAGTAAGAAGAGGAGGAAATTTTGTCTCAGGAAATTGATAATTATTTCAAAGTTGCAGTACAAGTAGAGAAAAAAGTTAATATCTGCTGGCATAGAGAAATGAGATTATTGTCATAATACAATAACAATAAAGATTTTATCACAATAATCATTATATGGTTTGTCACAGGACAAAGTTAACATTAGAGTCAGTGTACATATTGCAGGACACAAGTAAATAGTTCCTTATAAAAACTGTGCAATGCTTTAAGAAAGTATTTTTCTTATCTCAGCTTTCTGAGCTTATGTTCTGAAAGTGAAAAATGATGTTTTGGCAGAAACATTCATTATATAACTTTTTTTTTTTTTTTAAGTAGTACCATAGACTGCAAAGGATACAGGATTTTCTTCCTGAAGGGATCATATTTGGATATCATAACAGTGCAAGCACCACATCCACCTTCTCCACAGCCTAGTTTGGTTCCACACAGGCCCACTGAGAGAACAGGAATTAAGGAAAACACAAAAAGAATTGGCACAAACTTGCTCAAGTCATCAATCAAGGCTGAGGAACAAGTTCCTGCTGGAAGCAAATCACTCATTTCTTCTGTGAAATAATTTAACATAAGCAAAGTTTCAAAAGCTGGCATGTGACTGTTGAGATCAACACCCAAACCCCTCATAAGGTCACAGCCCACACTCTCAGAAACAAACAAAAAAAAAAAAATATCCTCAACTGCAACAGTTCCCACTTTCCATGAGTCAGAAAGGGAAATGACACAAGGGAGATAAAGCACTGGTAATTGCTGAGCAGGAGCTGTTCAGGCACGCAGCCACATGCATGAGCCACGCAGTGACATCCTCCTTTAGCACCTCTCACTGGTGGGGCTGGATTTCTTCCTGCACCTGCTTGACTCCTACCACCCAGAAGGCTGCCAGGAAGGGCAGCCACTCTGGGCTACAAGTTACACAGTTTAGCACCGGCTGGGAGCTGCATTTGAACTGCTCACAAACTACCTGCATCTCCAAAGTCATGGTCTGGCCACCCCATTTCTGATGGCTTGCCAACTGATAGGGACAAAACCAGCCATGCACACTCCCCCAGGAGCCTGGGTCCCATAAAATCATAGGAAGGAGACACTGAGAGCCAGAACTCATGGAGATGCACAGAACCCCTGCCCAGACACCTGGGAGCTCATTAAAAGGTAATTAGACACTATTTTTTATTGCAAAGAGAATTGACCAATGTTGAGAGGCTTTTGGTGGGGTAAAAATCAGCTGATTTCATTGGCAATGGACACCGAGTTGAGATAATCAGGGCCTTTCCCTGTATCACAGAGCCTCTGGAAAACCAACACACGATGCGCTAGAGGGAACTCAATTCATCCTGACTTCTCTACAAACAGTGTGGCACTGTTTCTAGAGAATCATAGAATCATTGACATCGGAAAAGATGTTAAAGATCACCAAGTCCAACCAACATGATGCTGCCAAGTCCACCACTAAACCATGTCTTTGATGAAAACCTAAGGCTGCCAAGTCCACAATTAAACCATGTCCTTAAAGCCACCACTGCTTTTCATAGAACCACGTGCCTGCTTGAACAGAAATACAGCTTTCCCATGCCATCCAATGCTTCTCTTGACAATACTGCTAACCTGCCTCAGTAAAACATGTTTCTCAAAGTATTGTCTGACCCTAACAAGAATGCTCATGTAGAAGATCAGCAGGTTTTGAAGGGCTCAGATTCTCTCTTCACAAAGCTATTTGCATTAGTTATCTACAAGCTTAGATATGCAAGTTCTGGCAGTAAGACAGGCACACCTAGGCACAAGAGTAACACCACTTACATTTCCTCCTGACCTTTATCCATCTATGGTACACTCAGATAAACTGAGCTGCTGATAGCTCTACTGGAAACCTCCAAGAGGGGTGTGATTCATGTCCCTGTACTTCCTTCCTTCAGCTCCCAGACAAATGGAACACACCAGCATGGTATGGATACACCAACTCAGCTGTGAACAGTTTGGCATGTGCACACACCCAGCTGGCCAGACAAAAACTCAGCATGGAATGACACTAGCTATGGAAGCAGACCTGGTCTGGCAGCAGCCAGCCTGATCATGACAGTAACAGCTACTCAGCTCCTGAAGCTGCTGTGACTCACAGGGTGACCAGTTTCAAGCAGGGGTGAAACGTGACTGCTTGTATCTGCTCAGGTAAACACACCCATGGTACATGGGGGTAACCCCTGCCTCTGAACCTGCCTCCCTGGGCCATCTGATAAACAGCACAGCGTTATCAGTTATGGGATATTAACTAGCCAATATGTTGTTTTGGCCAGAAAATTCTTTATTCTTTGTGTGGAACAAGCTTACATTTCCTTCAATTTTATTGCCATCTCATTATCGCTTCCTTTCCATCATATTATAATTCTGTGAAATTACAAGTTTTTCCTTAAAGTATTAATAAATAATTTAAAAGATATAATTTAAAATCTGTTATGAAGTTTGGAATAGCAGCTGTAATCTTTGCTAGCAAGAAATCAGACAATGCAAAGCATTCCCTCTTAAACTACGTGCAAAATCTCTGCCCAGTACTCAAGTGACAGAACAGTAAACAATTATGAAATGCTGTAGGCATTTAAAGCTTTCTGCCATTTTCTCTGGCAGTGGATACATTTTCTCCGTAGATAAGTTAGCAGGGTTGTTTCTGGATCCACATCTTTTTCCACCACCTGCAAGAAGGGAAAGATATTGATAAACACAACAGGTTTTACAACACAGATAAGTTAGTTGCAAGGGGAAAGTTTGGTCTTTCTGCAACTTCTTTTCCAAAGCAGGAAGCAAAAATCACAGATTATTCCAACAATGTTGGTCATGTGTCCAGACACAAGGTTTCCTTGAATTTATTGTGTAAGAGGGAAGTAGATACATTATATGCATCTGAATTTTTCAGACATGGCAAACTAAGGCAAACCTAAAAAACCCTTCATCAAAAATGCCAAACAGTAGTGAGAAGACTTTGTGAGAAAAGGAAGAACTGTGTTTTGTACTAAAATCTTGGGTTCCTGACACATCCCAAATGGTGTCTCATCTTTGTCAACTCTGAGTAACTGAACTCTGCCCTTTCTTTTACAGAGAAGGGAGAGAAAATGACCAGATAAACAGAATGACAGAAAAAGCACCAGTAATAGGTTTTGCAGAGAAAAACCCTAACAGTGGAAACTGTAACATGACACACAGGTGCAACAGGATGGACAGCAAGTACAGATTCTCTGAAGTTTCTCTTTCTTCCCTTGTAATATTAAATCAATCAGTATTACAGTATTAGCCATCCTAAATGTGGGAATACAAAATTCTAAGAAAGGAAACATTTTTGCTGCACATTTTGAACCACCTCCATCCTATTAATAGAGTTAATTAGAAGTTACCCATTAGACATAAAGCATTTTACTTTAACCTCTGCCCAGAGGTCCCAAACCAAACTTCCACCCCTGTCACAGGGCTTGTCTTCCCCTTTTTCTGTTATTAATAAAGTGTCAAGAAACTTTTCCAAATTCACTGTGTGCCAGAAAATCATGTTCTTGGCTCTTATTTTATGCAAGTCCTAAGTACAATAGTTACAGTTTATTTAAATTAATCACTCCCAGTTTGAAGGGCAAATTGAAACAGGGGTCATTTGTCCAAGTATTTTTTTTTAACTTTCTTTTCTCACTGATAAGAAACCTTCACAAACTCAGCCCTGCTCCAGTTTTATGCCTCTGACACGTGACATGGTTATCCTAAAGAGACAAGGTTCACACTTCCTGTTTGAGTTCACTGTTCTAGAATTAACTGATAAAATTGCTGCTACAAAACACAACTGGTCACTTTTTGCACATCTCATTCCTTCACTGGGGATGATCTACAGGAAAAAAGAATCCATTCTAGTTGGGAATGTCATATTGCAGATCATGCAGCACCCATGGCTGCTATTCAGAGCAGAATGCCCCTGTTCCCTCACCTCCTGTATTCATAGAAATAAATAAAAGCATGCAGAGGCTCTTCCATGACCATCTGGTTCAGAGTAAGCCAACACCTCCCTCTGCACCTTCTCAGACAGACATGAGAAGGAAATCCCAAACATCCCTTTGACTGTGAGTGGACAAATGGCCTTTCAGAGCCATTCCACCGGCAAAGAGCCAGCCCCACAACTCCCACTGTCACACTGAGCTTCTTCCTCGTGTCTGTGCCAATGGCCATTACAAACCCTTCCAAAGCAGCTTCCAAGATAGCCAGACACAGAGAAGAAACTTTACAACACGTAAAGACTTTCTGTGCTTATATCAAAGAAAACATCTCAAGAGGTTTTACTGAAAGAGTGCAAGAAGTGCTCAGTTACGTACTCAAACCAAGCAATTAAAAGTTTGGCCCACTGGCTTCTTTTCAGGAAGCAGGAACTAAAAGACAGGCCTAGTCCTTCATTTTTCATTTAACCACTCATCTCCATGTACTTTTAATGATGTAGGAACATGTGAAGTCCCAAAGCTGATGCTTTGCTCAACTTTATCAGAAAGTGTCTCCCACCATGTCCCAGACAATCCACAGCCTTACTCTATTCCAGCCAACAGCCCTGGATTGCTACTTCAGCCACTTCAAACTGCTCCACTGGAGCTGCATATCTGCAATCCTGGCAGAGACTAAGGATCTGAGGGAGATATGGTTAAGAGTTTGGAGAACATTCTGGATTAACACAGATCTCACACATCACAGATCAAGGAATCATTTCTCTTCACTTCAAATTCCTGGTGGGAGGATGCTGGCTGATGAGTCTCTCTTGCTGGGCACAGAGTAAGAATTTTTTGCTGTTCTTGCCTTTTGCTCACTGTTGTTGATGCTGGCTTGTCCTCCAGCATATCATTCCTCAAGTGGTTTGTTGCAATCTCCTGCTGTGATTTGTTCTTAAAATATTTTAAAACCCTGTGGGTGAGGATAACACATCTTGTCTGATACCCAGTACAATATAATTCACAGCTCAATACCACAGCTCCTGCTCACCTCCCCCAGTGTCCTTGTACAGAAAGAAACTGAATTCCATCTATTGCCTTCTGTGGTTGTAGAATCAGACAACTTAGATACGGCAGTTAAAGAAGTAGTTCCCTTTCGGTAAGTTTTTAGAGTTTGGCGATTTGTTTTATTTTTGGTTTTTTAAATCAAATGTCATATTGCAGGTGTATCAGATTGATAACCATATTTTGACAATTTTAAACTGGATTTACTTCATTTGGCAGCTTAATTATTAATCAAATGCAGAAAGAAACTGTTGAAAATGTTAGGATGGTACAGACAGTCAAATGACTCTCAACAAATTTACTCTGTACTGCTGTGTTTGTACTACACGTCTGTTTGCTTACTGATTCTGGGAACTTTGAATACTCAGATCCACTTAGCAGGGAGCCTAGTCTGGCTCCCTGCTGAAGTGGATCTGAGTATTGAAAAGTTAAAAGCACAAAAGCCCTGAAGTTCTTTGTGCTTTCAAGTACCACACAGAGCAGGTTCTGAAGCAGTTCTTTACACCTTTAGAGTGCATGGATTAGTGCAGAAAAATGTTGAACTCACTTCCGCATAATTTTATGTACAAAACTTCAATCTCAATAAATATTCTTGTTTTTCAACTTCTCTACCTGCCACTCACTAATTCAGATAACTTTGCCTTTACAACACAAAGCATCATATTTAAATCATGATTCCCAGAAAGTTAGGGGTTTTTTCAGTTTAAGGGAACAGTAGTTGAACAAGTTAAATAGAGGAACAGAAGGAAAGTGAAAAACTTTCCCATTTTACCAAACAGCGTGCTAAAATTTCCATCAGTTGGGATCTATAAATGAGAAGCAGGTGTTTTCCTGAAGGACAAGATCCCATTCAATCACTAATCCCTGGTCACTGATTAAGTTTCAGGAAGAGAAAGTGAAAGGTTTTAACCAGATTGCCACACAGCAAGTCAGACCAGTCACATGTAAAGGTCCCCTAAGACACGAAAATCTGTGAATGTATTATTCCTGAAGACAATGAGAGATTTCAAATTCATTTATTAGGAAAAAGGATTAGAACACAAACGAACAAACTAAATATAACTGCACAATGTAAATTTGCTACTGTTCATGAGAATACTTTCTTCTGCTTTAAACTAGCACCCTGAAAGCTCTGAAGTCTCTGTTTATGTAGAACCCAGAGGTCCACAAAGCTCAGAAAAATCCTGTATTTTAGCTGGTCCCATCAGCAATCAAATACTCACAGACTTTGGAAGTGGTAAGAGGTCTAATGTAGCTTCCAGCATAGATCCTCCCTTAGCATTCAGAATAGAAATAGAAATATTGACTCCAAGCGTTTAAACTAAAATTACATGCTACATATGCATGAGACAGACTTGTCAGCCAAGAGAAAAAAATTGTCTCTATTAGCTTTAAATTGAACATCCTGATTTGCATTCTAGTCTAGGCAGACTATTAAGAGAACTTGGAGTTAGTAGTGTGCCAAGCTATATGCCCAGTGAAATAAACAGTCCTGAATGTAAAGTGTGCTCAGCTGCTCCAAGGAGACTTTTCCTTGACACCAGTGCAGGCCAGGCTAACGTGAGGGAAAAAATTGCGGCAATCCATGTCCCTGTCTCACAAACCACCTCTTGGCACGTGGTTTTGTACAGTGACAGGACGTCAGCAGGCCATTCGCAATGTCATGAATTCCCACAGCAGGAAACTTTCCCACTGGCCACTCTACCACACTCTTCGCAGTGAATCAGCTGGAATATTTAATCAGGATCCCAGATGGATAGAGCCATGTCCTAACTTGGAGTCACAGAATATACTGACTTGGAAAAGACACACTAAAACCATCCAAGCTCAACTCCTGGGCCTGCACAGGACCCCCCAAGAATTCCAACAGGTGCCTGAGAGCATTGTCCAAATACTTCCTGAAGTCTGTCAGCCTTGGTGCTGTGGCCACTGCCCTGGGGAGCCTGTTCCAGTGCCCAACCACCCTCTGGGTGAAAAATCTTTCCATAACCTCCCCTGATGGAGGCTGTTTTCTCAGGTCCTGCCACTGGTCACCATTGAGAAGATAATAATGCCTGCCTCTCCACTTGCCCTCTTGCTAGCTGCTGTTCCAGCAGAATTGCACTTCCAGGCACTTCCCACCACTCCTTCCATCACATCACCTTTCCCGTCAGGCAATGTTCCAATAAACTCCACCTACATTGCCACAGATCAGAGTGCCCCAAGAGTCCAATTCTCTCTCTTAAACCTGCATTTGCTCAGGCAGTAACTTGAGTGACTTTAGCAACACACACAAATAAAGGAATAGAAAAAAAAAAGCCACTGGAGGCTCTGGGTAGAGCAAGTGAAACCTGCTCCTTCACTAGAACTGCCTGCTCCATGGGGCAGTGGGAAAAGATGCTAAGAGAGCTTTGACATCCAAATCAGTTGGTACCATTGGTAACATTAATCATCCCTTGGTGTTTGTTTGGGGTTTTTTTTTCAGCCAAGCTGCCAAGATGACACTGTGATAAACTCCTTTACACATGCACATAGGCTTTGTAAACAAGAACAGCAGTTCCATAAAAATTGCTGAAATGCAACAAGGCCAGTGTCACTCACAGGAGGTTTATTACCTGCAGGACACAGCAAGGACAGGCAGAAGATCCAAAATAAACAGGTTGTTTTTTGCTGATGGCCTTCAGGGCCTAGGCTGCCATTTCTCCCCTTCTCTGCCTCACCCCACATGCATAAAAGAAATTCCCACAAGGCCAGCTCTAGGCTTTGATTAATAGACATTTTCATGTGTTAGCAAAAGTTTTCTCCAGAAAGAACTTTTCCAACAAATTACACAGAGCAGTGCTCTTGTAATAACTGAGCACCAACCAGTGCTGAAGCACCACTTGTAACTGCATGCAGGAATTTGTTTACAAACTCCTCATACCTACCAAGACAGGCCTATTGGTTTTGAACCTCGGCTGATCTGGCACGAGAATTACAATTCTCTCTGATTAGGGCATACCAAAAAAAAAAAAAAATTAAAACAGGGCATTTGGCTTGTATTAGGAAAAAAAAATCAAATAAGACAGGGTACTTGGCTTGTATCAGGGTCTGGATTGCCCAACACATTTGTGGCAACCTCCTAATGCAACAACTAAAGAGCTCCAAGTTCACCCTCTACAAACTGAGGTTCACAAAGAAAGCATCTCACAAAAACTTCACAGAGCAAGAAGACAACAAGTTAATGGTGTGCCACCTGTTGCCTCCATAGCAGAATTCACCAGATAAAATTCACAGACCATCCTATGCCACAATTTCAATTACCAGACTCAATTAGCAGTCACAATTAACTTGGAGCTTCATGTTTTCATCTCTTTCTAGAAACAATAAATGGCTGATATGTCAATTAACACATATGAACCACTACTAATCTGTGTGAGCAAAGCCTAAGTTGTCATCCTTCTCTATAAAACCTCAGAACCAAGCCTGGGCTCTACATCAGCATTATATTTAACACCTCTATGACTAATTTTTAGTGTACACTAGATAAAATTCATTCTTCAGTAAACTGTTAATATATCAATAAAACAAAACATCCATATCAAATCCACTAGTACTTCAGAAAGCTCTAATTCCAATCCAATTTGGGACACAAAATCATAACTAAAACCCCGAATTGTAGCTACACTCCATCCACATTAAACAACCATGAAAAAGCAAAACGGATAGTAATCCTGTGCTAGTCTGTAAGGCAGGGCACAGAGCTTTTTAACCAACTGAGAGCGTTGTGTGACCCCTCAAGGGATTAAAAATTAATTGTCCAGGCCAAACGCAGTATAACACCTGATTTACATCCATAAGCAGTGCTCAGGGAAGGTTTGCAAACTCTTGGCTCCACACCAATGGATAAGCAACCTTGGCCCCTTCCCTTCCCAGCAGGAAGCTGCTTTGGCATGAGTTCCCTTAACCAAGGGTTTGGGCAAGGGGAAGGTGGGGAAGGCAGCACTGAGCTGAGCTCAGAAACAGAATTAACTTGGTAGTTGGCCCAGGAGTCAGCTTTGACTTTTGTAACAAGCCTTTGAAGGGGCATTGCTAGCCAGGCAAAGTCCAAACTGAGGAAAGGGAGATCTAGGACAAGCTGTTCAAATGTGTCCATCACTTGCAATGAGCAGCCCAGTCTCCTGTGAGACACAGTCACTTCTCAGGTTATTGCCAGGAATCAGTACCAGTTCATGGGCTTTCTTTCTGAAGAGATTTCTAGCTTCTTAGATGGAAATAGAATAAACATTTTTCTAAACCCCTTTCAAAAAACAGATGTTAGAATTACTTATTGATGAATTATATACGGATGCTTCCATTTGAGTTGAATTTTCCAGATATGTTGTAAATACTGAAATTATTTCTAGCAGGAATGCCTGTATTCAGCAGTGCACACTTATTTAAAAAGTAGCTACGTCAGAATTGCAGTAAATTATTGCCAACAAATCAAAAATGTAAAAGGAATATTATGTAATTGTGTTATCCTTTGAATAATTCACAAGGTAAACTCAAAGAAGAGAAGAAATAATTTAGCAAAGCAACATGTAGTCTTCACAATTTAATACTTAGAAGTCATGGAATGACTTTTAATACAGGACTTAAAAGTCATGTATTCTTATCAGAAGACTTCAGAGGAGGAAAAAGATGACTAGAAAAGTAAGCGATCAAGCCACAATCCAGGAGAAAGCTGAACAGGAAGCTGGGATCCTCCTTACCTTTTTACCATTCACAAAGAAAACAAGCTCATCCCCTGCCTGGTTGGGAGCCATCCTGCACCCCTTCCCAAGTTGACTCCAGCAGGGCCACAGAGCAGCCTGGTGAGAGCAGCCCTACTCCCCAGAGCAGAGTGAGCACCAGCCACAGCACAGGTGACCCGAGTGTGCCTCCACAATGTTTGACTTGATTTTCACCCCGGAGCCCTGTGAGAGCCCATGTTATATAAGAGGCAATGCAGAGGCGTGCCAGCTGCCTGTGGTTGGTGCTCCTGCAGCCCTAATGACAGCAGAGCAGCTGGAAGCACAGAGTGACCCGCCCCCTTTTATATAGCAGAGGATCAAAACTCAGCTGCATTCCCTTTGGATGATCCTGCCAGGCTGCCACCAGCGAGGAATTCACAGGGGTTTTGCAATGCAATGCAAACTTCAGGGGAGGGAGGCAGGGAGGGGGCGTTCTCCCAGCTATCCCTCACCAAATATTGACAATAAAAAGCTGTTTCCCTTGTTCTGTGCAGAGCCCATCCACCTGGCATTCACCACACAGAGGTCTCTAATAACAGCACCTGCTTATTTAAAAAACTCCTTGATAAGTGCACATCTGCTGCTAGGCTTTCACTGTTTTTCCTGGCAGTTTAAAAGCTGCAGTACCCTCTACCTGGGAGGACATAATTTAAATAGGTATGTGTTTGTCCACATAAAAGCAGTTCTAGAGAGCTGGTACTCTGATCCAGTACCTATTTTGAGGTGCTAGGCTAAAATCTAGCACTTCAATGTTTACACTGGGCCCTTGAATAATTTAGTCTCTTACCTGTTTTAGCTTAATCCCCATATCCTGGCTCCTGGGTGCATGTTGCCAGTGAAATACAGAGAAAAACCAAGGATTTTTTTGTCCTCCATTTCCCTGGTGGTGGTTTCTTCTGGTTTCTCCATTACACAACCACATATTTTGCATGAAGCCTTCCTGTTTATTTCTTCCAAAACTGTTGGCAGAATCATCCACGTGATGGCAGAATCCATATGACAGGCATTGGTTCATTGAACAAGATATCTAAACAGCTACTTCCAGTTTAAAATTCCACCACAAAGCAGCACAGTTCCAAAGTCTCATGGAAGTTTCCCAGCACTGTACCTTATCCTGCCTGCTCCATTTTGATTCTTGTGATTTTGCTTTCCTTCTTCAGTTTCAGTTATTTTTTTATTAGGTTTTTTAATTATTTCTTTTAAATACCTAGGAAAGCACTATATCAAAGTCTTCTTCTCAGGAACCTCTCTGAATAATTAACAAGATAACAGAGCCTAATTAAATTAGAATTTTCAAAAATAATCCTTCAGTATTACAGAAACATTTCACAGTGAACACAATACATACATTATTTTTACCAGCTTTTATCTTCTGTTTCATCTATTCTGTTTTCCCAGACTATACCCTAGAAAATCTATTTCATAACTAGTATCAAACACCATTTCAGCCTTCTTTATAGGTATTTCAGTTTGCTAAGAGTTCACAGCAAATTTACATAAAACCAGCTGCCTTAATCTATGTTTTCAGTGAGGTTGTGCATAGCTGAACCGGTGCTGACACCTATTGTCTGGCACCTCCCACTTTGCAATATCAGAGTACTAGAAAAAACCCTTTTCTCCAAGTGATCTTAAGCTCTGTTGCTTGGTATTTCTGTGCAAAATTTACACAAACACTACCCTCACGTAGCAAGCTTCAACCTCAAAATTAGTGTACACAAGGTTACTACTCATTAATAGTTTTGTAATATTTCAAACAACAATTGTTACTCATAACCACAATTAACATGTTATTACAGCAACCTTAAAGCAACTAGCCATTACAGCATTAACATCAAAATCAAACTTGTTTAGTTTCCTGATATGTTTTCCATAATGCATGATGCAGTTCTTGGGTTTAAAGAAAATTTCCAATCATATCATCACTTTTTAAAGGAATCCCATACTCAAATTTCTGCTTAGCCTTGGTGATAACATTATAGGTAAACTATTGATTTCTGCTAAACCAGTAAACAGCAATTTGATCCATCAACCTACTACATACCCAGGACAAAACTAACGATAAATATAACCATGATCACGATCTCCATTTATAGATTACATGGTAATTTAAAACTTCAAAACTCATCTCAGAGTGACTGATCACACAGCACCAATTTTGCTCATTCTCTCATCACCCTGATGGGATAGTCTATTACTATACCCATTTCAAAGGCAGAGAACGAAGACATACAGAACAGGAATTTTCCTAGTGCTCTAAACTCTGGAGCATGAGAGTGTGTGCTGTTGAAATGTTTTCTCCATTTCCTGGAAACCCACGTGCTCTGAAACAGAACAGAGGATTACAAGAAATCAGAGAAAAGAAAGCGAAAGCTAAAAAAAGCAAACTCACAAAATCCTCAACACAACTTCCTTAAGTGAACTAAAATAGAAAAGTTGCCTCAATCAAAGAAAAATTAGTTATTAGACAAACTATTCTGACTTGCCAGTCAGATAAATTCTAGCAGGTTTCCCATTTTAGAAATCATCCCTTTGTCCATTAATAACCCTGAGATGGGAATGGTTTAGAAGTTCAAAATTCCTTACAGTCTCATTCACTCACTAAAGAGCTCAGAAAGCAGTTGATATTAGTCAAGAACATGTTTTTTTTTAAAGCAGCTGACTTTCCTCATTCTGACTGGTTAATCCTGCAGACCTGACTGTTGCAATCATTATAATAATCATCTGTTCTGCAGATGATCATATGTGTAGCTCAATAAATACAGTGAAATTTATGGAAACACTATTCCTGCCAGGAATTAACTGCCAGAATTAGGTAAATGGATGAAAGTACAACAAGGAAACAATGCCGGGGTAATAAGGGAGGAGATTTAAAACAAACAGAAGTGAGATTTGTTGCTCTGTTCTGACATTCCTCTTTCCAGGTAACAGGAAAGAAGAAACAGGTGAGTCTGAAGAGAATTCTGTTAAGGGATTTATGAGGAGCAATTTTAAAAGCAAATACAAAAGAAAAGAGCCCCAAGTCAGTGCTTTAATGCAGTAATCCCTGTATCAAGAAGCTTCCAGTGTCTGCACATTTACTCTGTGTGCCCACTGCCCCTCTGGAGCCACTGTTGATAAACCATTTTGGACAGCATCTTCCCTCTGAAGTGCAAACAACCTGTTTGCTTTAGTTCTGGTGACTCCTGTTGGCTCATGTATCCTTTGTGGGAACACACACTGGAGTCTCTTCAGGGATCTCAAGAGGTCTCCCTGCACTTGCTGTTATCAGGGTCAGCCACAAGGGCATACAAGATTAATTAGAGCTGTGCACACCATCTCTTACTTCTTAAAAATCCCTTTTTAGACCCTCAGCTATTGGTGGTTGTGGCTTTGTTCTGTGTTCTCTATATGAGTTTAAAAACCCAAAACATCATAGAGGAATGATTATAAATTAAGTGTCAAGACAGAGAGTGTGACCTGAGGACGTTTGTTCTTCTCTTTGGCATCTCCTATCAGCCACTGGTGAAGACAGGTTCCTAAAAAAGTGGGCCTTGTATCTCTGGATAGGGACAGTCAGTCTTTATTGCCAAAGTCTCCAAAAAGAGCTCAAAGAAACAAAACCATTAGGGATCCTAATACAGACAGTAAACTTAATACCCTACAATAACAAAATACTCCAAAAACCCCCAATGAAACACAAGCCTCCCCAAAAAGTAGCTCTACATAAAGTTGCCATATGATTATGAAAGTAAGGTACTGCACAATTTTTCAAAGGCATTTCTCAGAAATTAAAAAAAAATAAATTACGTTCATGCAGTTTTCTGTGAGGGGTAAATTCCTTCATGGTTACAGACATTTGAGAAATATCATCGTTACAAAGCAAATATAAATTTGATTTCCCCATTGAGGTTTGTGAGTGGGTACTAGCTCATTATTCATGAATCACTAATCATTCAGTGTTCAGCTTCTAATTGTACAAATATTGTCTAATTATCCAGATTTATTGCGTGAATTATGAGCTCTTCACCTGCTTTTGAAGATGGGTGGAGTTTAATTATAGCTCTTTTCTTGGTCCCACCACCTGTCTTCCTATGAGAGCAAGAAATGAGCAAGGTTAGCCAATGCAGCCTTCTGTTGAGGAGTCCTGGTTGTCACTATTCATCACAATAATTAGCAGAGCATGACTGATTTCAGTTCATTCCATGTTTCTCCCATTGCCTATTTCCAGTGGGCCAAACAAAGGATGTTTCAGATATCTGACCTGAAAAACAACTTCTTTTCAAGCAGGCCTGTTAATGTGAGTTCCTTGTCTCCAGCAGCACCCAACTTGACACTTATCAGTTGTTTTTTACCTGCTTCCAGGTACCATGTGAGGGAAACTTCCTGTACCTGTCCTGATAAACTAACTCAAAACTGTACATTCTTCATCTTTGTTTCCCATCATCTGTTGACATTTTAGGAGCATTTTTTGTATTTAAACATTAGATCTCTGTCCCAGAAGGAGGCAGAGTTCCCCTTTTAGAGACTGCCTGTTGCCCCTGCCACAGGAGGAAGCATTTTCTCCAGTGGGTATTCCAAGGAAGAAAGGGCAGGGAAGCAGCTGCAAGAACCACATCAGGCTCTCCATTCTTCTGCACAGCTGCTAAAGCACTGCCTCTCTGGCATCTAACAATCCCATTATATTCCAAGATCCCTGCACAGGTAAGTAGGAGCTTCTGGGTCAGATTGACTAAGTGAAAACTAGCTCCCATACCATATCCATGCATGGCTAACTTTCCACTGCTTTTATTCACAGGAAGGAGTCTCCACACAAAAGTGTACCTTGCTTGTCTTGTTCTGCCCCTGTGACAGTATGAATTAATTTTGTTTGGGAGATGGTAATGCCTAGTTTACTCTTGTCTATACACAGGATGCAGTCTAGCATGTGGCTCCTTGTCAAAACTCTGATACCAGCTATATAAAGTAAATTTCTATTTCATATACTGTCCTGACCCTGCCTGGGCATCTGCACAAATTCTCTGTCTGTTCTGTTATCTCACTGGTAATTATTTTCTCATTTCAGAACGCATTATTTGATGGGCAGTTCATCTGAAAACCAAGAAATCCTCCACAGCTGCTTCTGGTAACGAAGAACCAAAAAGGTTTTCCTGAATCAACCAAACATTGGACTGCTCTATCTAGGAGGGATTTGTATGCCAAAAGCTTGCAAGCATCCCCCAACTACGTAAGTCTGCCTAAGAAAAGGCTGCCTAAACAGAGCCCTGCACTTAATACCTTGCACTGTGATTTCCTTCTAGTTCCCTCATTAAGATTGCCTACCTAGACCGGACAAACATGGCAAGGCAATCACACAGAGACTTTGAGAAGAGTTTTGTTATTACCCAAGTGCAGGAAAGCAGATGGTATCACTGAAACAGGTCAGTTGTCTCCAACTGCAGCCATCATGGTCAGCTGATACCCCCCAGACTCTCTTGATTTCTCTTCAAAACAAATTTATTCTAAATAATTTTCCACTAAGCAATAGTAACAGACCATAAACATCAAGCAGGAAACAAAAAGACAGTTCTGGCTCAAGAGCAGTTGCTATAAACCCAGCATGCATCATTTAAGGTGAAAATTAGAAAAGCCATACCCATTATAGCAGTAACATTGAGGAATGTCCTTCCAGGAGAAGCAGTGCATGAAAAAGAAGATGAACTGCTTAAAAACTGAAAATTGAAGAGCCTACAAAGTGGATAATATCTTAAGCACATATTGCAGAAGTTGAAACTTAAATTACTTCAAGTCCTGTGTTTCTCCTCCAATCCTACCTAGTGTCCACAAGATAGATTTTCTCAAGTCATGTTCCTGATATCCCACAGTCTCAACTTGAAGTAAAAGAGCCTTCTTAGAGTCAAATTTAGTTTATTAAGAGCAGACAGCAAAGCAAACTATTTGTAAAAAGCCTGTAATGATGTACATCTAAAATATGTCTTTGAATCCCTGGCTACTCAGAAGACCTATTTTTAATTGCCTGGCTTATTTTCAAATAGAAGTACCTCAGTCAGACTTGTTGTTTTCAGCAATATGCCCAAGTATGAACATTTAAGGTCACTAAATAGAAGTCCTATACCATCATTCCTGAAGCTTTCTAATTCATGAAGAACAAGTTACTTCCACTTTTCAAGAATTCTATTGGACAACAGTTAAAAGACATAATACATTACTGCCATTGTGCTTTTTCAAATGCTTGCATGATGAATGTGCAGATCTCAAATATTTCTGATCCTTTGCCATGATTGCCCTTTATGCCACCCAATGACAGATACCACAAAGTCTTCATCTACCTTCTGAATTGGAATGCCTTCCTTTTCTAATAAAGTCTTCCCCCACTGTCATTTTATATCCAATATTATTATATATGAGAACAAAAGGTAGAGCTGATAGTTTTCATGGGTTGGCAGGAGGCTACTTTGCATCATTCAAGTAGTCACTTAGAGGTTTTGATATTTACTGACAAAATAATTACAGGCTGTTGCAATAAAATAGCCAGCATGACTAATGAAGACACCTCACCACAGTGCAGATATACCTGTGCTTTTCAGAGAATGCTGATGATGTATCTTGATGTAAACATGATTAATAGCCTTGTTAAACTAAGATGACAAGATGGGTTTTAACCAAACAGCTTAGAAAAATACTTGAGAAAAACAATGAAAGTGTAAGATAAAGATATGCGGATGCAGAAATGCTCAAATTTTCTTTTCCCAGGCCAAGCAAAGTTGTGACCCAAGGGTTAACAAGGTTGGGACTGCAGAAATTGATAATGGACTGCTAGTTGTTTCCTCCTATGTTATCTCTATTGATAGCAATACAGGAATGTCCAATCACACCTGCCTGGCTTCTGCTGAATAAACCTGTGATTTCCTTGCAATGGTTTTTCAGCGATCCTTCCAGGAGATAAATCAGCTCTAGAAGAGCAACTCAAGTTAAGTGGTTAAAGGAGCCAACACTATTCACTTTGTTAAAGACAGCACAAAACCAAAGGTTTTACTCCCTTGAACAAAGTATAACCTATTCCATATAAACAAAAACACAGTGGAGTGGAATTGACAACTCCAGATCCATCTCCTCTTGAAGACCATAATGGTTCCAATCCTAATTGGATTACACACATAAAAGCATTTCTGTCCCAGACAAGCTGCACAATGGTCCTAAAATATAATTTGGTTTATCACCACAATAGAATACTTGAGATACAAGGGAGATAATTTAATTTCTGTGTCATAAAGCTTGTGATCTACAACAAAAGCTTCAGAGAAAAAAAAAGGGGGGGGGGGCTAAAATAGCCCTGAGGAAAGACCTATTTCTATTCTTACAATTTTTTTGGTGGTAATTACTGCAGCAGATAATAGCTTTTAGAAGGGACTAGTGTAGAGCCTGTAACACTCATCTTGCATATTCTATGTCTGACAGAATGTTGAGCACAAAGATGCAAACAGTAGCCAGCACTGGGAGCTGAAATATCACAAGTAAAACTGACAGGATTCCAGCATCAACACCAAATAGCCACATCCTGAGGAATTTCAATGGTCATCTGAAATACCCTCTTTTTTCCATCATCACATCATCCCGTATCACAGCTGTGCACAGCAGAAAAGTCAGATCCTTCTTTTAGTGAATTGATCTGCTGCTCTGGTCAGCAAATATTTGTTCCTAGTATTTACTTGTTCTGATTTCATCTCCTTAATTCAGAAAGTTATTGCTGTCAGCCACATTTACAGTGATGGTGAACAAAGAGGAGGAGCAAGGCTCCAGTCTGTTATTCCCTGCTCTGCCACTTCCCTTTCAGACACAGGAGCTGCAGAAGAGGGGAAGAACCACAACAAGCAGAAGACCCAGGAGTGGCAGCCAGTGAGAGATGTGATGATTATCACTTTAGAAACAGCAAAATGTGATGGTTGACAGGCTTTCACTAGACACTGCTCCAGAACTTGTATTTGATTCTTCAAAGGCTGGTGCTATTTCTTATACTTGCCTTTTCCTTTACAAAATTAAGACCTTAACCAAGCTGGTCTTCAAACCTCCCCTTTGATTTACTGGAGTCACTACCTTGTACATTTTTTTAAGTGTACAAAGCCATCCTTATGAAAGAAAGGCTCTTAGAAAACTACTCTGTTATACACATTACACTTCTCAATTCTATGTGGATAAAAAAGCTATTTTCACCTTAGAAAAGAAATTACTTCATTACAAAAGCTGGACAACCTGCCCAAACAGCAGGACAAACATTGATGACACCAGGTGTGAAATGTTCAAGAGTACTCAGTGCTGAGTTCTTTACTCACTACACTCAGTAAGAGAGAAATTAAATAAAGATGAAATGGTTTCTGAATATTTCTACCTAGTGAGAAACTATCCACTGTTTTCACTGAGACTAGAACCTGGACCCAGAACCAGTACCCTGTTGACTGAAACATAACATGTACATATCTCCACTTTGTTTACAGTTCTCAGGACTGACACCCCAGAAAAAAAAATGATGCAAAGCCAAAGTAAGATCAATTAAGCAAAAGTAAACATATTAGGCTGTTTTTCCACACTGACCTGAGAGGCACAAAAACAAGATAAGTTTGAAGAATAACAAAAGTACTACTAATTTTCCTGGAAGAGTGTTTTGTTTTGTTTTCTGGAAGAAGAAACAACTATAAAGTAGCTTATTCCATAATGCATAATCCAGTGAATTTCCAGGGGCAGGAGAATTTCGAGAGTTCAAAGCATATTCTCTTATCACAACTCCAATATGTCTGTAATTACCTATCTGGTTAAACAGTTCTAGTGAGTACAGACCCTCAAGTAATGCTTCAGTCTTCTAAATGGAATGGTTCATTAAAAACCAATTTACAATAAAACAACTCATAAAAAATACACACAGATAAAAGTGAGAACCCACCAGTTTTGAGGAACTGTTGATGACATCTTTGTTTTTTATATTTTCTCATGCTTTGAGTTTTTCAGGTCTCCTGACCAGTTTTATGGCAGCATTCCTTGTAAAACAATCATCCCCAATCCCTTCCTTACATTGACATCAGAGGAAGTTTGGATGCAGAGAGGTGACACAGTGTTCAGGATAAATGAAAGGGAAAAACAATTTTAGAGCTTTCACGGTCAGGGTCTGCTTATTTGTGAAAAGCCTGACTCAGCAGTGACTTAACAGCAAGCAGGCCCCCATTGGGCGAGGAGAGGGAGAGGATCCCAGGGCTAGCCAGCTGGAAAGGTCAGCAGCAGGACTGGGGGGAGGTCAAGGGCCTGGCAGGGCCCTGCTGCCAGGGAGGGCAGGCAGGGGTGGACAATGGGCCACCAAGCAGGGACTTCTCCTGCCCACCCTGCTCTGGTCACTGCACAGCCCTCAGCAGGACACCAGCGCTGGGACAGGGATCACCACCCTGGGACTAGGGATTACAAGCCCTGCTCCAGGCTAAGACTTGGTGCAGACCATTTTAAATGCAGTGAACCTTCTCAAAAGCAGGCTTGAAAAGAAGAGGACCTGCAAAAAGCCCAGACATCCAATGCTTGTATAAAGGATGACAGTGAGCGAGCATCAACACTATGGAGCCTCAGTGACCCCTGTCCATACCTCAGTCTAGTGGCTGCTCTTCCCAGCTTGATATGGACTCAACTGTCCAGCCTGAGGGCACCTGCTCTTCTGAGAAGGGTCATGAGAGAGACATGCAGGTCACATAATCCACAAAAGCTGAAACAACAAGGGCTAGAGAGAAAAATGGCTAGGGAAGACCAGAGACACTTTAAAAGGGAAAATTGACCCAAAAAAATTAACTCTCAGAATAAAAAGTGAGCAAAGGAAAATTATTTGATGGGACAAACACAACAGACTCTTTGGAGAGAAGAAAAAGATCACTAAATTATTTCAGCTGTCAAGTAAAAAGTCTTCTGGCCCTGCCCAGACTGACAAGGCAGAGTAGGATGGTTTCCTGTGCAATACAACTTCTCCTGCACCGCACAGGACACTTCAAAAGCTGCCCTGACGTGCTATAAATAATTAACTTAATCCACATTGTGCAAGCTACAGAGCAAAAGATTACAAAATCCATTTGTGCAATTGAGACATGTTACATTGGGACACACAGAAAACACCTCAGCAAGCTGATGGGCCTCCTCTACTTTTTTTACATGAAATGGAACACAGACATAACAAAGTAAATTTGATTTAAAATTTAGAACTCCTACACTGGAAAAAAAAACATTTTGTAAATTAGTCATAGACATTCTGCCACACAGCATTACTAATATTGGACTTCAACAACACAACAACAATTACCACACAAGAGTTGCTTACTCTACTCCATTGTAAAAACTATGAACGATACAAAATCTGACAATCTAGATAAACTAGGATAAAATGACTGATACAACTTTTTTTTACTTTCAATGTATGTTCTGGTATGAAGATAACTGTTTTCCTGTAAGCTTCCTATTTAAAAAAATTCTTCACAAATTATTTCAGCAAATTGTTCCTGATGCATTGATAATGCAAATTCCTACAAGTGCTCCCCACAAGAAAGTTTCCAAACAATTATGACTAATTACAACTACAAAAACATAGAATTGGTTAGGTTGGAAAAGACCTCTAAGATCATCAAGTCCAGCTGTTGACCCAGCACTGCCAAGTTCCCCACTAAACCACAGCTCTGAGTGCCATGTCCACAGAGGTTTTAAACACCTCCAGGGATGGTGACACAACCACCTCCCTGGGTAACCTGTTCCAGGGCTTGACAACCCTCCCCATGAAAGAAGTTTGTCCAGTCTAAACCTTCTTGGTGCAATTTGAGGCCATTTCCTCTCATCCTGTGTTAGGAAAAGAGGCTGAACCGTGCCTGGCTACAGCCTCTTCTTCAGTAGAGAGCAGTAAGGTTTCCCCTGAGCCTTCTTTTCTCCAGGTCATGCATCCCCAGCTGCTCCTCATCAGACTTGTGCTCCACACCCCTCCCCAGCTCCACTGTCCTTCTCTGGAGTCTCTCCAGCACCTCACTGTGTTGCAAACAGAGACAGGCTCAGAACTGAACACAGGACTTGAGGTGTGGCCTCACCAGTGCCAAGTACAGGGGAACAATCCCTGCCCTGCTCCTGCTGGCCACACTCTTCCAGACACAGGCCAGGATTCTATCAGCTTTCTTGGCCGCCTGGGCAGGCTGCCAGCTCACATTCAGCACTATCCATCTGCATTCCCAGGTCCTCTTTCACCAGGCAGCTTTCCGGCCACTCGTCCCCAGCCTGTAGTAATGCCTGGGGTTGTTGTGACCCAACTGCAGGACTGGCACTTCACCTCATTGAATCTCTACAGCTGGCCTCAGCCCAGCAATCCAACTTGCCCAGATCCCTTTGTAGAGACTTCCTATCCCACAGCAGATCAACAGTCCTACCCAGCTTGGTGTCAGCTGCAAACTGGCTGCGGGTGCACTCAATCTCCTCTTCCAGATCATTGGCAAAGGTATGAAACAAGTGGGGAACACCACTTGTGACTGGGCACCAGCTGCATTTAACTCCTTTCACCACCACTCTCTGAGCCCAGCCATCCTGACAGGTTTTTACCCATCCACAGCCTTTCTCTCATCTCCTAAGAAGAGTGAGGCAACTCAGACTATGTCTGCTATTGACTCATTTGAATATCATCATATAATTGAGAGTATTCATTTCCCTGCCTGGAGAAAGCAAGCTCTTGTCACTCTTGCTTGGTGAGACTTTATAATCCTCTTCAGTGATTCCCAACGAAAAATTCAAGAACAAATTTACCACTTCTCTTTTTTTAGCCTTTCCATGTTAAGCATGTATGAAGATCACTGCACACACCAGAGCTATAAAAGATAAAGATATCTGTTTATCCCCCACCTCACACAGTATTTTAAATGAGCACCTTTAAGGTACAGAAGTGAGAGTTAGAATGATGATCTGGTTGCAAAGTTATGGCAATGCATTGGAACTCCCTTTCCTCAAGGAAAAGGGGAACTCACTCCAAATGACACCTTCTTTAACAGGACAAACCCCATACTTGGAAAAGCACAGGCAGACAACATTCTCTGAAAAGATGACAATGCTCTGATGAAGAGGTACCAAGTGACTTTTGAAGTCAAAAGAGGTCTAGAGCTCTTATTCCTCTGAGATATCAGAGGATACTTATTTGCTGCCATATTCTGCATTTTAAGCCTTCTCTTAGGCAGCATGGCATTCAGCCTGGGCCAAGCAGTTCCACAAGAGGCAAACTGATTACACAGCAGTCTTGGAGGTGGTGCCACACTGAGTTGAATGCACCCAAGTTCAACAGGAGACCTTCTGTATAAACATGTCCACAGACTAAGCCAAGCAGAGTTACAGTGTTCACACAGACATTTCATCTATGATTATGACCAGGTACTTTGAGTTTCCCATTTAGAACCACAGAACTTCAGGAGCAAGAAAGGAAAGCTGGGATAGATGAATTTTGATATTTCATTTTTTAATTCCTTCAGCTCTGAGTCTATCTCCTCCATGTCTTAAGACCATAACTGCCTTCAGTTAAGCTTTTACGCACAATCCACTTTGATTTATACACAACTGTGACTTTAAAAGTTCCTTTGAAGCATGTAAACTGAATAATAAATAGGTTCTGGCAGTGACTCCCCTGAAGGAATTTCTTGAATAGATCTGACAACAATCTCTATGCCAAAATCTTGTGTATCTCCACTGAAAACTCAAATTGATTCAGGACTCATGCCACATGTTTCAGACTCTTCAGTCCATGTCTGAGTGCAGAAGCAATGCTAGACTGCAGAATCACACTCCACAGTGGATCACTGCCACCTCAGCTTCTGACCATGCTGCCAGCAGAAGGGTGAATACCTCTCTGATACAGGTTGGTTGTCTGGAAAGGTGATGACATATCCTTCCTTACATTTGTCCCCTATTCAGTTGCCTTCTTCTGCTCTGCAGGTTAATGACTCAAGGCTGGCTTACTGCTCCCTTCGTGCAATCTTCCTGACATTGCTTCAATGTCTTTCCCTCATTTAATTCCTTTCTCCTGGGCTGTGCTTCCCAAGGACCATGTTAAACACAGCAATGTCTTTTATTTGACTTTTTCAAACTTGTATTCAATAAGGTGCTGTGGCTTGGTTTTTTTGCTGATGCATCTCACCGTTCACATTTTATCAACAAAAATTTTCTTTCCCTTTTGATTTCTGCTGGGCATTCTTAAGACAGTGTAACAGCAGCCAAAACCTGACCAGATACCCTAAAAACATGGTACAAGCACATGTATTCAGGCCTGTTGTCAACACACAAAAAGCATGCACTGTTGAAAAAAAAGTCTGATTGCAGAAGTAGGTCTTTGATCAGCATGTTTAAGCAGCAAGAATTTAGACACCCGAGTAACCAGATACTTACATTTAATATCTTATTCAGACATCTGATTCTGCTGTTTCCCCACCTGCTCCAATGACACTGAGCTCTCCTCAGGAAATGTTTCATGACTGCATTCACTGGAATTAACTTCCATTCTTTTATTGTCAGCTGGTTCCTCTTCCATTAAGGAAATCAAACATTTTTTGAAATCACAAGTGTTCCTAAAACACACAGGATTTCAGCAGATTCTGTGCACTTTTCTCCCTTCAGCTGGTAACTTGAGTTTTCTCATTTCAAGTACAAGCAGCTTCTTCCATTTGGTGCAAACTGAACCTGTACCATGCTCTCTATTCAGCACTTCTCCATTGCCTGTACTCTGACTAGTCCATTGTTTTCCTCTTGTGGTTCTTCATCTTCAGTATCTGGAAAAGAAATTTAAGCCTTCCCTCATATTTGTGCTTTTAATCCCAGTTAAAGTCTTTCTATTGCCAGTACTTTTTCCCCCTAACAAAACAAATAACAGCCCCCAGTCAGCTTTTCTGACTTCACTAAGCATTCCTTCCCTAGGCCTCTATGCTCAGCTTAAAGGATTTACCTGGCCAACTCCAACCTTAATATCTGAGCCCTGCAGTATTTCCTAAGCAGCTTTGGAACCCTGGAGACTGGCCAAGAACATGATCATCAGTATGGAGAATCCACAGTGTGTCCATCAGGCAGAGTGTTACCCCAGGCCTCAATTAGGCTTGGTCCACTGAATCAAGGCCTGGATTCATTGCCCTTTTTGACTTCCTTCACAGTGAAGGCAGCAGACCTCCACCCTTGGCCATGCACTGCTCCTCTGCACCTCTTATTTCTGACCTCAGTCAAGAGGAGACCTGGCTGCAGAAAAGAGCATCATCTGCCTAGTGGGAGAGTCAGTGGCTCCTTGGTGAGGATGAGGGGATTCTCCTTTATTACAGCTGTGTTCCTGCATTTCAGGATCAAGCCAGCTGCCTTCCTCCAGCCTGAGTGTCCTGCAGGTGACACTTTTGTAATTCAGTCACCGCCTACAGGAGCTGTAGCAATTGGCATGCTTCTCTTTGTGTGACATCCTTTAACAAAAAGTACCAGAACTACATTCCCAACAAGTCAGGACAAAAAACCAAGATGGAAAACTCCAGAGACACAGACAGAAGCAGAAACAGCAGTGGAGACAGAGTGCCTTGTTTCCCCCTGGGGAGGTAGAAAACAGAGGTTGCTGCTGTCCTCTCTTACCTGAGGAAGAGAGGTGGTCTCTGCCAAACAATGGTTAACTTTGGTTTCCTTGCCATCCTATATCCTCTTAGTAGTCTAAAGAAAATAAATCTAGAGTCCAAAATAATTTACTGTTTTTCTATTTGTTAGAGCAAGCAGCATGATGACAACAAGCTTTTCAGGCCTAAAACAACAGCAGACCCTAAATGAGCTTCTTGCTTTATATACAGATTTAATTTTGTGAATGCTATGCCTGAGGTCACTGCTCTGCTAGATGGATAACCCTGAAATGAAGCATCCATACCTGTTTTCCCATCTCTCTAACTTTTCCAATATGCACACAATTAGAGATGAGAAATTCAGAGCTGTGATTTCTGTGGCCCCAGACAATTTCTTCTAATAAAGCACACATTTACCAGACAGAGTTTCCCCTTCTGTCCCACACCACAAAATGCTTCAGTTAGAGCACTGCAGTGGGAATCCAGAGGGCACAGGGATCTCGTCTTCATAGCATGCTTGCCCTTCTGTGTGTCTCTAGCTGGCCATAAGTCTTTCTGCCACACCTGCATCCCTCTCCTCCATGCTGTTGAGGAGAGAGGCAGCACCTCCAGCCCTCCTCAACCACCACGGCAAGGACTGTGTGTGAGGTTTGTGGATTGCCAGCACAGCCCAAGTCCAGCATGATGGGGAGACAGTCTCAATGAACCATGCTGGCTACCTGGCTGCTGGAAAGCAGGGGGCTGGAGTGTCACCTCAACATCCACTGGAAAAGAGTGAAAGATGCCACAAACTTAACTGGAGATACAAGGAGAGTTTGTGTGGAAACCCAGAACACTGGAAATATTTCTGTGTCTGCTCTGGGGTGCCCTGACCCTCAGGGGAGCACTGACTTAGACCCTCACTCATGGAGAAAGTTTCCTAGACTTCAAAGTAGACTAGAATCCACAAAAATGTGAAAGACTATAGAGAGTAGTGTAGGTGTATCACTTGGGTGAGGAATTTAGGTTTTGGGATTTGTAGTATGTTGTGGATGGAAGCAAGATGGAGAGTACAGGGTGTTGTCCTGGGTTTCTTCTTCATGCTTCTTCATAGGTTTGGGTGGCATTTTGTAATTGGACAGAAAAGTCCACACTGCAGGCTCTTTGGGATTAGTTATTGGGTTAAAAGGGAAATAATCTAGGTGTCAGCTCTTAATTGGAAAGTTTCATCGTAAAACACCTTGTAACAAGAGATTGTTGGCCATTTTGTGCCTTGCTAATGAAAAGCTGCTGAACTCATGGTTGTGAGACTGTTTTACTGATAAGAAATAAACATCTGAGTATGAACATGAACTACCATCTCCAGTGCCTTCGATACAGACCCAGAGAAACCAATACATTTGGAAACAGCACGTTCCTCTTTCAAACTAAATTATGCAATCCCACAATGACAAAACCTACCTGGGAAACAGACATGGCAGAGGAACTGTAAAGTCAATGTGGGATCCTACACATCACAGACCAATCCTTCAAAGCGGATACCAGAAATAAAGCAAATAAGATTTCTGCTTTGACTCACTCATATAATGGGATGCCTCAATTGACTCAATGGTACACTGTCAAATGTGTCATTCTGGAAAGTTTGTACAAGTACTCATGATTTCCCAGGAACTGTTTAGAAATTTGCAAACCAAAGGAGACATCCCATTCACAGCATAATACTTTTGTATCCTCCTAGTGTGGATCTGAAATTAATAGGATACAAACAGTAAACTGAAAGCCACCTTACTGGAACCCAATTTACCTACCAGGTACAGGCCAAAAGTTTTACCTTACAGATAGGAGAATGCATACAAGAATATTGACATTTTCCCAAAGAAAACATTGCAAAGAAAAATTCTTTGTCAAAGAGAATTGCAGAATTACCAAGAACAAAAAGGCTTCTGTGCATTTATTCCTACTGTTAGACCCTGCATTGTAGCTGACACGCATAAGCAAACTAAACTACAGCAGAGATTTCAAAGCTACACCTGTACACAGCTGTTAGAACAGGATCATCATAGAGGAACCATCAGAGCTCTTCCAAGGGTGGATTTGATCAACTGAACTGTTTCCTGAAAAAAAATTCTAAAAGTCCACCCACAGAAACCCTTTTCTTCAAGCCACCAATTGCTGCTTTCAGTTGCGTCTTTGAAGGGTATACATCCCCAAGAGAATTTTGAAGTTGGCCTTATGTATCCCATGTCTTTCTGATTAGGCTTCCAAGGTCAATTATTAAAGTTATAACTCAAATCAGGAATTTAATTTTTTTAATTCATTGTGCATATTAATGATTTGAGAAGAGCCTGTAGGAAATACCAGAACTCCTTTAAGTCTACTTTACTCAAAGTTAAAGGTTGATTTGATTGGATCTATGCTTTAGAAACATTAGCAAACACATTAATTCATTTTTGCACATCACTAGTGCTGGGCTACATATTTTTGTGTGTAGTAATTTCATGTTTCTATGTTACAAAGAGCTGAAATAATCTGTGAACATTAAGAAGCATTAGCACAACACCCTGAAATATAGCTACATGGAGTTTTACACAGAGAAACAGCTGACACACTAAAAGACATGCTTAGATAATATAGTGAATCAGAAGTAGCACAGGAAAAAAGAGAAATCCACAAACCCATTCCTACAATGTCTTGTCCAAGCCCCTTTTAGGTGACTAAACCATCCAACTAATTCTATTGCTTCAAAATATTTCTTGCAAATAATTTGCTGGAATTTATATGATAGCGCTTTATACCCAATAAGGATGGGTTTGATCTTGATTTTCATTTACTCTGGATTCTTAAAAAAAATTCCAGAAAATTACCAGAAATTATCAGAAAATCAACACTTGTGAGCAAAGTTAAGAATGCTCCCACCTGCTTTTGGGGCATGGTGGGCAAGGAAGAAGAATTTTCCACCAGACTCTCTCAGTTGATCCAGCAAGAGACCACAGAAGAAATCACTGATTATATCTAGAGCTTTTTACTCTCCTTTTGCCAGCAAATCCCTCCTCTTTCTCAATAACTATCTTGTCTAGGTTTTACCCAAGATCACCTAATATTTTTTGTTATGGCTCTACCTTCCCACATATCAGTAAATCCACTTGCTCTGGCACTTTTGGAGCAAAAGACACCTTTAGAGCCCTCCTCAGAGGAGCACCTGGAATGCACAAATTCAGGGAAAAACAAGTCCCAGTCTCATCATATCCCACACATGCTTGAGACACAATGAACACCCTCCCAAAATAAGCACTGCTATCCAGGAAGAATTGTCCTCCTCACAAACCCGGCCCATGTATCAGTTCATGTGCTTGCAGTCCTTTTGAAGGTTTAATTTTGGGCTGTTAAAAGTCCATTCAATCAAAAACTGCAAAAGCTTGGTTTCCTTTACCAAGGGGTGAGCAGTTATGCAGATTGCTCCAGGGACTACCAATTGCACAAGGTTTGTAGGGTATTATTTGTCATTTTATCTTGCCAGATTATTTGCATAATAGTGGTGCTGATTAAATTTCTCATACAGTTTGATGGGCCAGAGCTAACTTGCCTCTGGTTCAAAGGCAAAACATAGAATGAAGTGAAAACTAAAGCATTTGTAAAAATTAGCATCTTGTATTTAATTTAGCTGCTCATATTTCACTTTACATATTGGTATTTTACCAATTTGTCTAAGATAACTAAAGCCCTTACCTAAAGTTAAACCTGCTCTACTGCAGTTAATTTTTACCTTTCATTTTTTCCCGTCTTTGGCAAATCTGCCCCTTGAAGTTTCTTTCAAACAGAGAACATGTCCAACCCAAGGTGATCTTCATTGATTTACATCAATGCATCTGATTTGCTGCTG